CTCTTATTTGAGCCACTACATTCTCTTTTTGATTAACTCATGTGGGCTAGATTTTTCCATCACTTGCAACCAAGAGTCATAAGAGATATAGAAATATGTCAAATTCATATGTGTTTTCTGTGAGCAAATGGAAGTCTCCTCTAGATAACTTAGGGGAAGAGAGAGAGAGAGAGAGAGAGAGAGAGAGAGAAAGAGAGGGAAACTAGGGTGGAGGGATATGCAGTGGCTCACAGAACCAAAGGAAAATCAGAAGAAGCAGGTCTTGGAAAGGACATGTACCCAAGTGGTGCCTAGGAATTCAGATAGTGGGAATGAACAGGCAGTGGCATCATCAGAGTACTGCCCTATAATAAACCAGCACTAACCATCTACTACCCCTGAGTCACTTTACTCAATTCAGATTAGCTTGGGAAAGAAAGAGAGAAAGAGGGAGTCCATTTAGCCTTATATAAGTGTCATGCCCAACCCTTGTCTACACGAAGGCAGGACATCTGGATTGATAGTCCCCCCAGTCTGTAAGTCTGTACATAATTGAGGCTGCGTAATTCCCTAAAGTGAAATCTGTTCTAAGCACTTTGCATATATTAACTCACTTTAATTTTCAGAGTAGCCCTTTGAAATAGGTACTGTTATTATTATCCCTATTTTGCAGATGATGAAATTAAGACACAGAGAGGTAAAGTAACCTGCCTGTGGTCACACAGATGGTAAGTGTTGGGCTGGGATGTAAACTCAAGCAGCTTGGCTCCAGAGTCTGCACTTTTTCCACTATACTATAGGGCTTAGCAGCAGAAGGGGAATGAAGGCAGGGCAGGCAAAGACACAAGGTCCCCTGCAAATAATACTCAAGGGAGGAATTATGAGGAACTTCCACTCTCTGTATCATTCTTTTTAGCCACCATGTATCAACCAGATCTCTCACCCCCCACCCCCAAAAAAAAGATAATAAAGAAACTTCTATTTTGTAAAGTTAAAAAAAAAATCCTCCTTAGCCAATAGAAAAAAGGGAAGGAGACCAAAGCTGGTGATTTCACTCTCTCCCAGACACAAAGAAGACTGTGAAATATCTAGGACCCAGGGGAATTCCAGCTGTCACCAGGCTGCACTAGCCAAGGCTGAGGAAACCCAGGGAGAGAGTCAGGAAGGCATTATCCATCATAAAGTCACTGTTAGTGACCAAAAGGAGGAGGAATGCTAGCCCCTTGGTGAAGCCAATTGAAGTGACCACTGACTGCAGACCTCTGTCCTCAGTGAAAACCCTGTTGGGCTCAATTCCCTTCTTGCCCCTTTTATAGGGCCAGCCACACAACCACACTCTTTCTTCTTCCATGCAGCTTGCCCTGACCTCACTCTGCAGTGCCCGCTCCTTCAACAATGTGGAGCAAGTGCTGCCAAAGCTCCAAGCCTGGGAACAACAAGGCACACCAAAGCTCAGAACTTAAACTCATTACTCCGGCTCAGCCTTTAGCTGCAGAAAAGTGGCAACCCCAGCTCTGTTCTGGACACTGCCCCTTCCCAGGAACACAAGTCAGTCAGCAGTTAGGAGTGTGGCTCTGGAGTCAGACTCACGTTGCCATCCCAACTTCATCACTAACTGGCTATGTGACAATGGGCAAGTTGTCTAACCCATCTGAGCCTCCATCCACTGCCATGAAATGATGATACCGGGGCTGAAATTCAGTCTCTATGCACCTGTACTGCTGAACTGGTTGTTAAAACATCAAAACCTTCCAAATTGACTAGTAAATAGTTGGCAGCAGCCCATGGGCCCTTACCACCCTAGCGTAGCTCCCCTTGATCCAGTAACCAAAGTGTTAACTCTTGGCCGAACAGAAACCTACTAAGTCCTTGATCTAGCACTAAAGCAGGGCATCAGGCATCTGTCCTGATTGGTAATGCTCATGCCTGAAGAGAATTGTTAGATATACCTATTTTTTAATCCTCACCCAAGGATATGTTTTTTGATTTGAGAGAGAGTAAGAGAGAGAGAGACAGAGAAACATCGATTGGCTGCCTCCCTTATGCATCCCTAGCAGGGACTGAACCCACAACCGAGGTAGCCACCCTGACCAGGAATGGAACCCAAAACCTTTTAGTGCACAGAATGACACTCCCACGAAATGAGCCACCTGGCCAGGGAAAGAGTTGTTAGATATTTTTAATATCACCCTTGGCAGGGGTCATCGCTGGAATTGAGATGATGCAGATAAAGGACTTGGCAGGGAGTCTGGTACATAGTGAAGCAACTCAGTCAGTGTCAGCTGTTATTGTTGTAAACATCAAACCTAAAGAGCAGAGTCAGTATCAAGATCAGGGTCTCAAGTATTATGAGCAGGTGAAGATGGTTTATAACGGGCAGCTCGGAAACAGTCCCAGGCCCTGAAATGATTCATGGGTGATCCTGGCGGATTTAAAGAGCAAGAACAGGACCAATATATCTTGCCTCACCAACTGCCCCTTGCCTTCTTCCTTCCCCTGCTTACCTGGGATTCCTGGATCACATGCTGGATTCCAGGGCCAGGGTGAGGATGTCAGGAGAAGCACACACTGGCACTCTTGAAGTTCTGCATTCCCTACTCCAGCTCTACTGCTGCTGTTGGAATCCAATGTCTTGTTGGCTTGAGACACAGAAGCTGCTCCCAGAAGGTTGGGCTTTGTCTTTCTAAAGCTTTGGGGGATCAGAAAGAATATTCCAATCCAAGGTCATTCCCCATAAGGACTTGAGGGATCTTAAAAGAGAGGCAGTAGAATATAATGGCTGGGGTCAGACTGCTTGGATTCAAATCCCAGCTCTGCAACTGTGCTAGCTATGTGATCTTGGGCTAGTCAACTGCTCTGAGCCTCAATTTCCTCATCTGTTAAATGGGAGTAATAGCAGTACCTGCTTCATAAAGTTCTTAAGGGGAGTCCTGGCTGGTGTAGCTCAGTAGATTGAGTGCTGGACTGCAAAGCAAAGAGTTGCTGGTTTGGTTCCCAGTCAGGGCACGTGCCTGGGTTTTGGGCCAGGTCCCCAGTAGGGGGCGTGCAGGAGGCTCTTTCTCCCTTCTTTTAAAATCTTTAAAAAAGTTCTTAAGAGGAAAATAAATTAAGTAATATGTATAAAGTGTTAGGATAATGCCTGACACAGACATTCTCAATTATGGTAGTTATTGTTAAGAAGCTCACAAATGTAAAACTATCAGATTCATGCCTACATACTTCTGTTCAGGGTGACAGCCTTTCTCCACTCTGCTAGTTGAAATTCTTCCCCTGCTCCCCTGGGACTCCTGTACCAGCTTCCACATTTTACAGACTGGGAGGCCCAGAGAGAGAAAGATCTTGCCCATGGTCATGTCTGGCGTCATTGGCAAAGATGGGACCCATGGAGTTTCAGATACCACCTCCAGCATCCCCGGCTGTCTCTCCCCACTTCCTCGGGTCTTGGGGGTGTTTTCATGAGCAGGGATGAGTTCCGGCCCAGAGCAGAGAAAGTGATCAGGACGTGACAGGGTCAGGGCTTTGAAACACCTGTCCCTCGTGCGTCACCAACCAAAGGGTCCAGGGATACACCTGCTAATGGAGCTGCTGCTAGGCCCCAGGTCCCAGAGAGAAGACAGAGCCTGTAGCAGGGAGGATGGGACAGCAAAATGGATTCAAGGAGAAATGGGACTGTTCTGAGACAGAGAATGAGAGGAGAGGGAGGGAGGAGGGGGGAGAGAGCGTGAGAGATCCACTGGTTGCTCTTCAGCGAGCCCGGACGGGGAGTTTCTGGGACCAGCCAGCGAAGCTTCGCCTTCACCCTTGGCCTGCAGCTCAGCTCCTCTACCCGACTATCGCCCAGGCCACCTCACCTTGTGCTCTTTTGGCAGAAGCCCCGCCTCTTTCTCCACGGCTCTTCAGCATCCCCGCTCCCATTGGACCAACCCTACCGACGCCCCGCCCCACTTTTGACGGACGCCTAGAAATCCCTTCTCTGCACGTGGCCCAGCAGGAGGGTATCTGCTCCCCCTTTCGCCCCCAATTTGGAATAAAAGAGTTCTTTCCCACAGCCTTGGGTCGCGCGTTCTCAGCTGCCAGTGCAGCTGAGGCGGCCCGGCCGGACTTAGGGGAGACCCTCAAGTGCGGGGAGGAGTTGTTCCCGGGGCCCTGAAACCTTCCAGACCCGCTCAGTGTAAACCGCCTCGGGTTTGTGTCAACATCCGAGGCCGGAGACTGGCGGCAGCTGGGGACCGGCTCCGACTACAGGACGGGAAGATGGGAGGGTGGAGGAATGAAGGGGTCTATGGGGTAGTCAGAGGGATCTTTCTAGGGGAGATCCCGAGAGGTCTTTGGGGGTTCCGTGAGAAATAAGGAAGGCTGCCTGGGCAGGGCTTGGAATTAGGGGCTTTAGGGAGCCCACGGCTAGTGAGCCAGGGAGGTTGGGTCCTTCGCCATTCATACTGAGCTCCTCGCGCCCACCCACCCTCCTTTCCACCTCACAGCGTGAGGGGAGTGAGTGTGCTGAAGGGGCGACGCGAAGGCGTGTGCTGCTGACCATCCCATCTCTTCCCTCCGCCGCTCAGCTCCTCGGCACTCCTCTTAGCCTTCCTCCAAATTCGGGTGGGATATGGAGGGGGTCACATACTGTGACTCATCCCCTCTTCCATCCCCACCCCCGCTGGGGCCCAGGGAGGGAAGGCTTAGAGACTAGGCTGTGGTTCTCCCGTTTCCATAGCAACGGTGCGGTTGTTTTTGAGAATCCACTTCAATCGTCGACACTTTTCACCCCAGACTGTAGCCCGGGGTCCAAGCCTTGAGGTGAGAGTTACAGTGAGGGTACAGCCCTCCCCCTTCCTCACGACCCCGGGAAGGTCAGCGTGGGCGGGTGGGGCGCACTCCAGCAGCGAGGGCCTCACTGGCCACCGGGTCCCCACCTGAAACTCCGCCTGCCACTCTGCCCCAGAGGAGCCAATCAACACCCAGCTTGTCCGGGGTGAGGCGGGGCTTATACAAATCCTGTCGCCTCCGAGAGACACTTAGCGGTACCAGAGCTGGGAGGCGTCTCCGGCGCGGACCTTGGAGAACCTGGCCGCCAACCCGCGAGCCAGTCTCGGTCCCCGAGGCCGACTGAGACTCGGAGCCATCCAGCGACCTGGCGAGCGGCCTCAGGTAACGCGGGTGGGGCTGGGCGGAGTCCCTTGTCCCCTCCCCCTCCCCTCTCTATTTTCATCCTCGTGTCCTGCCCCCTCTGATGCATCTCCCTGACCCCAGGTTCTGCCACAGGGGGCAGCATCTGGAGGGTGGACCTCCACCCAAGTCCAGGTCCCGTGGGTCCCAGGAAAGGAGGCAGAGCTGCTTCCTTATCCCCAGCTCAGGTAAGAACAACAACGGCTCTAGCCCCCAACACACACACACACCTGGGGGTGCAGTGTTGCTGGTACTAGAGAAGACACCAGTCAACCTCCCTCCTTTGGAGATAGGTAATCTACTTAGTCCCATAGCAACCTCCCACCCCCAAGATAGCCCCCACCCACATCACCCAGCCCCACCAGCAGCTCAGCTCCTCCCCCTCTTTAAAAACCCCAACCCTCCCTTCCTCACAACACTCTCTCAACAGCGTCCCCTCTCCCTGGTCTCAGTGCTAGGCAGAGATCCCATGTTTGGCCTCTTTCATCCTGGCTGAAGGATGAACTAGGGGCTCCAACCCTCAGCAGACCACCCATACCTGTCAGTCACTGCTGCCAAGGTCCCACCCTCCTCCATTCCCCTCACCCCTCACAGCCAAAGCACCTGGTCCTCTTATTCTTCCTCTCAAATATCTTTCTGATTTGTACCTTCTCTGGCCTTCTTGCGCCCAGTCACTCCTTCTGGGTTCCTATCTTCCTGCTGCTCTGCAGGGACTGTGCCAAAACTACATGTGGACTGTATTGCTCATGGAGGGCAGAAGAGCTGGGTTCAAATCTTGCCTTTGCCTCAGTGCTGTCCGGCTTGGGCCAAGTCACATCCCTCTCTGATCCTTCATGAAACGAGGAAGGGGTCGGGACCAAAGGTGGGATGGATGAGATAGATGATCTTGAACAGCCTTCAAACAGTGACACACTCTGGTTTTATGGCTGATTATGAGAAAACAGGACCCTTTCCCTCTATCTCTGAATTATGAGGATGTTTCAAAGGGGAGTCCTGGGGGGCTTTAGTTCTCACTGAAAAGACATCACTTCTTACACAGGCCTACATCCCAGCCACCCCGCCCTCCCCATTCCCTGAGCCAGGGTCCCGTCTCAACTGTCCCTCCTAGACCAGCCAGCCACATGGCATGGACAGCTCCAAGGCAGAGGTGGCCAGCAGGGCCCACACTCTGTTTATTATCCCCTGCCTCTCATTAACAAGGAGAGGGAGAAGACCTGGCTGCTGCTACTATGGCTGCTGCTTGGAGAAGAGCAAAGGAAGGAGAGGAAAGAGAAAAATCTCCTGACCAGGGAGCTGTTGTCACCATGGCAACCATCTCCACACTAGCTTCTCTGAAGCTGGGTGACGGTGTGGGATTATCGCATCCCTCAGTCCCTCCCACCCTAACTGCCACCTCCCCACCTGAAGCCCACAACCCTGAACTCTGCCCTCTGGGAGAAGCCTCTGGGCACAGAGGGCAGTGGCTTTGTGTATGGCCTTATGCCAGCTCCTTCACGGCTGGAGGGTAGCCCGCAAGAGGTAAGCAGAGGAGCCTGTGCACAATCAGCAGGGCCATGGTGCCAACAGAACATGCCCCCAGTGTGTTCTGGCCTTTGCGTTGCTGCCGATGGGCTCTGCTTTACCTTGGGTGAACCCTTCCTTTTGCCAGGTCTGGCTCACATTGTCTCTGAAGTTGGTGCAATGGTGGGAGAACACAGATAAAACAGCCTGATGCCATTCAATGGAGAAAGAAGGGGGTTTTGTCCCTCATGTAATTCACCAAAGGACATTCACGGAACATCGCTGGGTCCTAGTCATCACCCCTATGTCTCTCCAGGGCAGTTCTGAGCAGCCACAGAGGGACAGAGTGGGGATGCCTGTGGGGTAGCTACAGGAGGACAAACTTAGGAACAATAAGGAGAGCACTTTTCTCACTCTTTGACCTTCTCCAAAGTGGACTGGGTTTTATTGGGAGGGGATAAGCTCTTTGCCATTGAGCAAAAAGGTCTGGAGGACTTTTTCTGGCTCAGGCAAGGGTTTAATGCAAAGGCCTCTCCCAAATCGGGCTCCATTCTAGAATTCTTAGAACTCCAGCTGAGGGTCAGAGAGCTCCGAGGTCTACATACTTGTGAGGCTCAACTCCATAGCCTCACAGGGTCTACTCATGCCCAAAGTGCCGTCCCCACGCTGCTGACTGCCCACCATCCCGCTGGGGAGAGGCTGACCATAAGAAGTGGGCTTCAGCCAGCTCTGCAGGCTGATTATGCTGCATGGGTCCAGGAAAGAAGGAAGGGTACTGGGGGAGAGGAAACCAGGTAAGCAATAGGAGAGGTAGGTCCCGGCTGTGAGAGGCTTGGCTTGAAAGGAGTATATAGTTGTGAGGGGAGCAGTGGGAGGGGAGACTAGACAGGCGGGCACCTTGACACCAGGTTCTAGAGGATTCTGGAGTTTGAGGGGGCTTGCGGGCATGGCCGCCTCTTGCCGATGTTATACTTCTGGGCAGAACCAGGAAAAATATTCCCTTGGAAGAAAGGAATCAGAGGAAAGGCATTTCCTCTGAGGCAACTGAGCCTACAGGCATGGCTTACCTAGCGGGGTCCCCGCGGGACTTCAGCCTGCTTGGCTGTGCCTCTGGCCCTGACTATGATGACAGAACGAACATAGTGAAGTTTCCCAAGCACTTCAAAAGAAGGAACAATAGGACTTGGTGGCAAGTTGGGCCTGGGGAAAAGGGAAAGGGGAAAACTGAAGGTAACCAATATGGCATTTCCCCCTTGGGATGAGGGGAAGGAAAGGGCAATGGAGAGAGGACAGCTATAGGTTGAAGATGTGCTTGCTGGGTTAGAGGTGTTGGGGGGCTACCCCAAGGGGTGGATATTTCCTGGGTGTCAGACACTGTGGCCTGGAGCCTGGCAAGATAGTCCCACTGAGGCTGAGGGAGGTCAGAACTATGGTTTCCCCAAAAAGCAAGTAGGAGCGGGGAAGGCTTGTACTGGACAAGAGCTGCCACGCTTTGGAGGAGGTGGTTCAGGTAGTAGCATGGATTGGGCTTAGGTGCTTACCTGGGCCTCCCACTGACCTGCCTTGCAACTCTCAGGGTTTTCACTACCACAATGGGATGATCTTAAAGGGCACTGCCAGGTTCGACCTGCTGATCTAAGAGCTAGAGGAAGTAAGTAGAGATGAAGGAGGAGACATAGTCCTTGGTGCGCCTGGGACCAGATGGGGCGCAGGAACAGGTATAGCCCCAGACAGAGAATCGTGGGAGGGAGGAGAAAAGGGGCAGAAGGTGAGAGGCACACAGACACTATGACACACACAGCAACTGTGCGCTCTGACAGATCTACAGTCTCATGCATTGACATGCTCCCACCCACACCCCGCACCTCATGCAGACACTCAGGCACATTTCACCGGAGACAGCGGAAGGGGCTCTGCCTCGCCCATCAGACACCTCCGCCTCTGGGTGCTCTAGCTCCCCTGACTATACCCTGAGTCTTCAGTGTGCTTTGGACTTGAGGAGGGGGCAGCTGGGTTTGGAGCCTACCTCCTTCTGCCCATGGTGTTCCAGAGGCATCCTTGACTCTGGTTCTGGTGCAGCTGTTTTGAACCCCACATTTCCAAGTTCCTGAGGATGGCATGCATCTCTCTCCCTGGCTTCCGCTGGGGGCATGTAGGATTCCTCATCCTCTGAGGATAGTAGGTGGAGGAGGATGTAGCTACCCCCACTGCTCCTTGATCTTCCTCATGGCCCATAAGAGCAATCGGAGGTCCATAGATATCCTGTAACTGACTTTAGGTCACGCAGCAAGGGAGGGGGCATGGAGCAGACGAGTCCTCGGTAGTTTATGGAGCTCCCAGCAGTAAAGATTAGAAGCCACACTAGCCTGGGCTGCGCTGTCAAAACGGCATTCCTTCTGCTGACCTGAGGGCTTCTTTTTCCAGAGTGTCTCCATGACAGGCTGCCCTCAGGTTGGAGTCTGGTGCCATTCCAAAGACTCCAGGCAGGTCAAAGTCTCCTCCCAGGCCATTTCTTGGGAAACTCAAGCTCTGGATAGACATTCCTCCAATGGAATTCAGACAGGCTGTCCATCCAGCCTTCAGGGCCTGGTGCAGCATCACCCTGGCCAGGTGTCCTGGGGAGGGCTGTACCCCGCTCTGCAAACACCTCCTGGCACAGGCTACTTGAGGGGCTCTTGTTCTGGCTGAGGACTAACTCTTCATCCACCCCAAAATTGCTTCGTCTGTTTATCCCCAGATCTGAGCATCTGCCTAAACTCCTCCATCCCTCTCACCCCACATCCATTTGGTCACCAAGGCCCGCCAACGCCCCCTCTTAACAGCTCTCGGTGCATCCCCATCTCTTCACAGCCCTTGCGTTAGTGCCATCATCTCTCACCTGAGCTGTGCAGCATGCCCCTCTCTGCTTCCCCTACCTCCACTCCTCCCCACCACCCAGGTCGTCTTGTACATTGTAGCCAGAGGAAAAAATTCTAAAACACATTCCTTCTCCCTGGATCTCCAGTACCTAGTTCAGGACCTGCCATATTGTAAGCATTCTGTAAGGGTTGTGGAATGAAGGCTATCTTCTTAACCTTTGCTTTAAAACCCCAAGAGCTTCCATCCCCTCTGGGTAAAAGCCGAACTCCTTGGCATGGAATGAAGGTCTTGTATAATCAGCCACCTACCTCTTTGACCTAAGCATGAGTTACTGAAAGTTGGCTGATGTCTGCTCTATCCCCGTGACTAGCACAGGCCCTACCACAGTCAGCCTCAATAATGCTCAGGGAATGAGTGAACTAATGAAAAGAGGAATGTAATCGGGGCCATCAATGCTACCAGCTAGGACTTCTATTAGTACAGAAGAAAGGGGGAGAGAAGCTTCCGGTGGAGATGGCCTGGCAGGCCTTGAGGGAGAACTTGAGAGACGGTGCCAGTGGGGGACCCATGAGGAACCTGCCTCTGGTCCCTGGTAGGAGAGGAGCCTGCAGAAGCAGGTGGGGCTGAGTGTGAAAGATCTGAAAAGCAGGGAGGGAACTAAGACTCTATTCTATAGGTGTGGGGAGCTATGGAAGGTTAAACAGGAGAGGATGAAGGTTGTGGCATGTAGCATCTGTCAGTGAAAAGGAGGAGAGCTGAGACCTAAAAGGCTAGGGATCCTGGGTGCCAGGGGAAGAAACCTGTACAAGGAGAGAGGAGTGGCCTGCTGTGGAGGCCCTTTTATGCGGGAGAGTAACGAGGGGAAGGGACCCCGCCCCCATGTCGCGGGGGAGGGGCTGAGAGGGGAGGTAGGAAAGCTATGGGAAGGGATGGGTGAAGGAGAGGGCCCAGCTGTAGGAGGATGGGGCTTGTCTAGCATCGTGGTGAGAGGAGAGATACTCACCCTGCTGTGGAAGGCGGGACCTTGGCTATGGGAACGTGGGTTTGTTATGGGTGGAGGCTGTTGTAGAGAAAGGGAACCCTGGTTTACGGGACTTAGAGGACTGCTGCTGAGGTGAGGACCTTGCGCCTGTCCCCCAGGCCCCGCCATGGGGAAGACCAACAGCAAACTGGCCCCAGAGGTGCTGGAGGACCTGGTTCAGAATACTGAGTTCAGCGAGCAGGAGCTGAAGCAGTGGTACAAAGGCTTTCTGAAGGACTGCCCCAGCGGCATCCTCAACCTGGAGGAGTTCCAGCAGCTCTACATCAAGGTGGGCGGACCCGGAGGGGCGGGGCGGGGCCAGGACCCCAGGGGGCGGGCCGAAGGGACGGGACGGGGCCAAGCAACCCCAGGGAATGGGCCGGAGGAGAGGCAAGGCTGTAACTAAGCCCCAACCTCTGCATACCCGCTTCAGTTCTTCCCCTACGGCGATGCCTCCAAATTTGCCCAGCACGCCTTCCGCACCTTCGACAAGAATGGCGACGGCACTATCGACTTCCGGGAGTTTATCTGCGCCCTTTCGGTCACTTCCCGCGGCAGCTTTGAGCAGAAACTCAACTGGGCCTTTGAGATGTACGACCTGGACGGCGACGGGCGCATCACGCGCTTGGAGATGCTGGAGATCATCGAGGTGCGCTGGCTGGGGTTGGAGCCGAGCGGCCGGGATGTGCTGGGGTGGCGCGCCCCCTGCCTTCGCAGCCGGGCCCTTCTCGGGCACCGCCCTCTCTGGCCACGCTCCTCGGGGGCTTCGGGGACCCCGGGGGCCTCTTCGCTGCGCCCACCTTCTCCCCCACCCCCCATCCCTCCTCCCAGGATTCAGTGGTTAACTAGTATGGGTTTGGCACTTGGTGTTGAACAGGCCTTGTGCTAAGTAAGTGCTTTACCCAAGAACCCTATAGGGTAGGTGCTATCAGAAACCCCATTTTACAGACGAGGAAACGTAGCAAGTGGTGGTTCATGATTCACATCCAGAGTCTGACGCCAGAGCCGAAGTTCCCTTAGCTCGTTATTCTTTCAACAAATATGTATTGAGTGTCTGCCACGTGCTAGGCTCTGATCAAAGGTCCTGCTTTCATGGGACATTTTCACCAGTGAGAAAAATTTAAAACAACAACAACAAAACTATGCTATGCCAGGCAGTAAGTGTTCTAAAGAAGATAAGCAAAGCACACGGGAGAGAGCAATAGAAGAAAGCAACTTTATGAGGTGAAGGGTGAGCAGCAACCTGAATAAGTAAGGTGAGGAAGCTAAGCACGCAGATGTCGGGGGAAGAGGGGTCTATGCCCAGGGAATAATAAATGCAAAGACCCTGAGGTTAGATTGTGTTTGCAGTGCTCAAGGAGTGGTCAGGAGGCCAGGGCGGTAGGGAGAAGTGAGCAAGGGGAGAGTGGTAGGGAGGAGGTCAGATGGGTAGCCAGGAGCCCAGTCATTTACCATCTCATAACCTGGGGGAGAGACTTGACTTTATTCTGAGTGAGATGGGAAGCCAATAAGTACTCTCTCTGGTCCATATGGAGAATAGACTAAAGGCGGGGGGTGGGGGGTGGTGCTGGAGAATCAGAAGCAAGGAGACTAGTTAGGAGGCTTCCACTGCAGCCCAGTCAGGAGCTGATGGAGGTGACAGCTGTGGAGAGGCAGTCAGTGGAAGTGGTTAGATACAGGATTTATTGCAAAATTAAGGCTGACAAGATTGGCTGCAGGATTGGATGTGGGTGTGAGAGACGGAAAGTCAAGAAGGGTGTCAAGGTCTTTGGTCTGAACAACTAAAAGAATGAATTTGCTATTTCCTGAGAAAGGAAATGCCTGGGGAAGAGCAGGTCGGAAGTGAAGAGTTGGGTTTTAGACATGTTCGTTTGAAATGCTCATTAAATAAGCAATCTTAATGACCATACATCACCTTCCAGCATCCTCACCATTTCCCAGTGTTCTCCCTGCCCACTCCCAGACCTCCTTCATTTACTCCTAATCCTCCCTGCCCCCTGTGACTTACCAGGCTATCTACAAGATGGTGGGCACCGTGATCATGATGCGCATGAACCAGGATGGGCTCACGCCCCAGCAGCGTGTGGACAAGATCTTCAAGAAGATGGACCAGGATAAAGATGACCAGATTACTCTGGAAGAGTTCAAGGAGGCGGCCAAGAGCGACCCATCCATTGTGCTGCTGCTGCAGTGTGACATGCAGAAGTAGAGAGTAGAGGCTGGTGAGGGGCAGGGACCCTGGCCAGGAGGAGCGTGGTCACCGCCCAACCCCATGATCTCTCTGGCTGGCCTTTCCCCAGGGGGAGGGGTACTCCAACCTCACTCTCTGGCCTACCCACCCCTCTGTCCAAGCCCTTGCTCTCTCAGTCAAGATCCTTGAGGGACCACCTCACCCTGGAAAAGGGACAGATCCTCAGGTACTCTGTGGTCTAGCACCGCCCCCAGTCTCGGCCCAGAACTAACATCCACTGGGCATAGGGGAGTTGGCTTTTGCCCCTACAGGCAGGGTTAAGGAGGGGGGGATGGTGCTCTGCTTTGAAAGTCCATTCTTCCTGGGGTTATGCTTTGTAGAATGGCCCACACACCCCAGATAAAGGGCCAAATTGGATCTGTCCTGTGCTGAAGACCTAGATCCCTTAAAGGTGGTCTCTGCCCTGCCCCCTCAACTCCACCCTTCTGGCCCTTGTCTTTGAAGCATTCATTCAGTCCTTTCTTCAGCTAATGTTTATCGAGCACCGTTCAATGTCAGGCACCTGTAGGTGCTAAGGAAGTGGTAGCCTACAAGACACATTTCGTGCCCTCTGGAAGCTCACAGAGCAGGAAGGCAGACTTCCAGTGGTCAGAGTCACAGATGGGGATGTCGAACACAGCTGAGCAGAGGGTGCGGTCAGGCTGGTTAATCTGACAGGAAGTATTAAATCTTTCCACTCAGTTCTACACAGAGCTGCAGAAGGCTGAAATGAGCAGTGTTTGGAGGTCTGGGAACTATGTGAGTGGAAGTTTTAAGAAGAATTTAAATTTATTTAATACTTATTTTTTTAGTACCTTTAAAAGGAGCTGAAGTCATTTTATTAGTTTAGGGTATTAAAATATTCTTTATATTACTCAATTTCTTGTAAAATGATAAAATGAATGTAGAAGTGCCACTTTTCATGGGGAAAAAAGAGCTGAAAAAAAGGGAAAATACCACTAAACTCACCAGAAAACACTTTCTTATCAGGCTAAATCCTGAGCTGTCACCATCAGCAGCTTCCTTTTTTGATGACCTTTTTCAATTCAGTGAACAACTCTGTTGCACACTACCCTGGTTAGGTGCTGTCTTCAGAAACACACACACACACATACACACCAAGATTTGCCAAGAGTGAAACTGTGCATTTCCCACATCTTGGTAGTTCCTTTGTGGATTTGGTCTAGTTTCTAGGATGGGCTTGTTCTTTTACTGCTACAGAAGCAGAAGGAGCTAGAGAGAGGACCACCTGGCCACCTTTTAGACTGCCAGGCTGCATTTATGGACCAAATGCCTAAAAATGTTCAGGGTGTGCTCCATTTGAAAAGCTTTTTCTAACCCCAAATCCTGCATCTGCCAGGTTATTCATCATCTTCTCAGTGCAGTGGCTTTGCTTTCCAATGTCTGCTTTCTGATTTTGGATTCATGAGCTATACAGCTGCATGCTTTGATAGCTAGAGAACTCATCTTGCTTCTTCAAGCCTTTCACTTTACACTCTCCTGTACTTGTGATCAGAAATTAGCTTTGATGTGCAGTGACAGTTGATTTCCTCTTGAACTGCTGATGAAAACAGTCTAGGACACAGGTGCTGGCAGCCCAGGGTGGGAGCAGGGACTAGTTGCTGAGATGGGGGTGCGGATTGTATCAGCAGGAAAGCAATGCAGCATGCACTTTACTTCTGAGTGTTCACCTGTCCTCCCTCTCTGCACGTGGAAACTCTAGGGGATGCTGACCGTTGGTCCCAAACCCTATCAGACCTTTCTTCTTGCTACTCTTGGAGGTAGCAAGGCCACTCGGTCACCACACTTTTTCTCTCCTGCCTAGGGCCAGCCACATGGTAAACCTGGGCAATTCACATCCTTGGGCAGTGACCAGCATGCTTTTATCTAGTAACACCTCAAAGGATGTTCCACTGCCCCCAGGAGCTGGCCATTAGGTGTGTCTTATGCTATCAGTGCACCACAGATATAGATACTCAATAGCCTGACTCAGCTGACACTTCCAATGGAAGACTTTTTACAAAGTGGGGTCCTTTTCCCCCAAACATTGAATCTAACCCAACTCCCAACCACACAGAACTTAGAGCTTTCAAAGGTTTGTCACTGACTCCATCTCATTCTACACACAGCCTAGGGAAGTGAGGATTTTCATTCCTTTTCTCCAGACTTGGAAGCTGAGACACAGAGAGTCCATTGTGCAAAAGCACACAGTCAGGAATTGGCACAGCACATAGACTTGAGCCCAAGGCTCTAAGAAGTTTTCTTCCCTTCAGAGTCTCTCCCCTGCTCATTTGTTTGACTATGAGTGGTACAGAGGTCGATGGTGGGGCAAGCTAAGTTGGTTTTAGTCTTTTACAAGCTTCCTGCTAAGGCTGTGGTCTTCTAAAAAGAAAGAGAATTTTGGTTGAAGACTCCACATTTTCAAGTATCTTGTTTTCTGTTTCTGGGCAGCTCTGTGGCCAAGTCAGTGCTGTCCTGGAAGCATCTTGCACTGTCTTTATCATCATCTTCCTCTCTAAAGGAACTGCTTTTGTTTTTTCCCTGCTGGTAGGCAAGTCCTACACGTGAGGGTGTGTCTGATCGCTGCAAACTTTGGGACATGTACCCTGGGTGATGTTTGTTGGCAAGAACAAAGATTCTCATGTAGCCTATCAGTGTTAGACACATAATGCCAGGCCAGGAAGCAGGACCACCATCTTGCCAATGGGAGGAGCCACAGGCAGGCCAGGCCTAGCTCCCATGTGCTCCTGGATGTCCCAAGGACTGTGCTCCAGAGCTCCTATGGTAGAGCACCGGCCCTGCTGTGAGAAGAGAGGCAGTCCTCCCATCTCCACCCCAGCTGAGAGCGACCTGTCACAAAGCACAAGGTTAGCAGAGACTGATGTATGACTTGCATAGACTCAAAAATATACAGACAGTTAAAACATTGATAAATACAAACTCTCCTTTGAAGTTCTGTGTCTTCTTGCAGCAACTCTGAATTGCAAAATTCTAAAATCTGCCTTCTAACTGTATGCTTTCATTCAACCTTTGAGCTAATTCATGAGCTCCTCCTTATCTCTAAAACTCATCAGCAAGGGCTACTTCAGATGGCCACTCCAGCCCTTTGAGCTATAGTCAGGATTACATAACTTACCTTAAATCAAAAATTAAGCAAAAAGAAGCTTATATCAAAGGCTCTGTATCTTTTCCTGACAATGGCAGAGTCCCTAGAGGTAGAAATTCATTCTGCTGGGGGCGGGGCGGGGGGGGAGGGAGAAGGAGGGGAGGAGAGAGAAACAATAAGCTGGGGTTTCTCGGCAAGGGAGTAAGCTGACACTGTAAATATTTTTACACCAAAATTTACTAAAGCAACAAATATTTCCTGAAGACCCACCCTGGGTGAGGCTTTGTGCTGACTTTTAGAGATCATGGTAAAGGCAAGAATACATTTCCTATATATTTTATTCATCAGTTTTGAAAAAACATTCAAATTTTGCATTGAAAAGTCTCAAAAATATGGGATTGTCTTTCTGCAATTTTCAGGGTTTTCTTTTACCTTTGCTAGAGTGTGAGGGTAAGACCAGGCCTTCCAGGGGGCCTGGCCCTTCCTGCTCAAGGGATGCTCTGGGGGTGAGGAGGCCTGGGGCAGGAGGGGGTCGTGCGTGGCGCAGGGGGTCCTCCCAACTCCCCGCTGTGGTGCCTGTCCCTTTCTGATGTGCTGCTCCTGGCTGTGCCCACAGTGACTGTCCTCACTGTTCAACCCTGTGCTGTGTGGTGTTTCTTTTTCACTGACAGTGAATAAAAGGTGTGACTGTGCTGAGGAGTCCTGCTCTTTAAGCTGGGACGGGGCTGTGGCGAGGGGAGATGGGGGAGCTCCCCCATGGGAGCACCTCAGCCGTTCCTTAGGACTGAGGTCCTTGTTCTTGCAAGGACTCTGGCTACATGAAACAGAGACTCGCCCAATAGTTCAGAGAAAGGGCTGAGCAGATTACAAGAGACCCTAAAGATGGAAGAATCAAGAACGAGTGGGCCTTACCTGAACTAGAACTAAGAATGTGCCTCTCTCTTTTCTCTGGGCCTCACAGGCTCTCGTCCCCTTGGCAATATTTGCATCTGTGCACTTCTCCTTGGTTTCTCTTCAGATTTTCTTAGTTTCCCTGCACAAAGGGGCTGCATCCCAGCTCTGTATCAAGACTCACCAGCGATGACAACGCTCCTCGGTGTCTCAAGCAAAAGAATCTGATTGGTTCAGCTTAGTTTCTGGTGGGACCCCTTGGTCCAGTCATCTACAGCCAGACCAGATGCTGCCACGTGCGGGCTGCAGGTGGAGCAGTTCCCCCGGAAGGGAGCCGGTGGCGGCGGACAGTGGGGCTTGGTTTCTCCCTTTGTCCGGTGGAAGGCTTCACGGAAGCCCAAGTGAGTCCATAGCGGGCAGTGGGAAGGAAGGCCGAGAGCCAGGATCACAATGGTCCGTGTGGCGCCCTCTGTACTAATTAGGAAAAGGGCCGCCCTCTGAGTGGAAGCATCACTGGCCGTGAGTATACAGCCAGACCAGTGGATGGCACCTTTGGGCTGATTAGGAAAACATATCCCTTCTTCTGAACAAACACGGCCTGTTATACCAGGATGCACAGCTTGGTAAGTGGAGCGAGACCAGGATCTCGGCCCCCACCTGCCCTGCTGGTCAGAGGTTGTGTACTGCATAATCTGTTTGTTACACCAGGGGTCCCCAACCCCCAGCAGAGAGCGATGTTTGGCTCGGCTCCGCCTCGCCTCCTGTCGCCTCCCGCCCTCCACCCTCCCCCTACCCCCCGCTCCGCCCCGCCCCGCCATCCTTTGCGGGTGAACGGAGCGAACTCACCTGAGCTCCGCCTCCTGTTTCCTTCCACAACCCGCACCCCCCCCCCCCCCGGGCCCCGCCCCCCCGCGCGCCCCGCCACCAACCGCGCCTCTGATCTTCCACAAAACCGGTCCCTGGCGCCAAAAAGGTTGGGGCCCGCTATGTTACGCCACTCTTAGGAGCCCAGCCCAGAGTCCTGAGACGCCCACTGACCCAAATAAGATAGGGATTGGTGATGAGAGTTGGTGGCGAAGTGTTCTCAGAAGACCCCTCAACAGGCAGAAAGGCACTGTTCTCTGCTGGGCGTCGGGAGCGGCGGCAGCTGCCCGCCCTGCTTCCTCCTGAAACGCTCAGGTGCTTTTTACAAGGACTTTCTCAAGGACGCTTGGAGGGGGCCAGCTTCGTTGGCAGGAAGCAATTAGGATGGAGGAAGGAGGCTGACCTGGCCTCAGGGCAACCGTGAACCTAAGGAGGTGACTCAGAAGTCTGAGACGTTCAGCTTCCCAGCTGAAGCCGCACCGGGGGGATGGGGAGTCCTGTCTCCTGCCTGTTTTCGAGTGCATGGGTGCTCCTTTACCATCTCCTAAAAGCTTACCGCTCAGGCCCTCATCATCTCTAGCCTGGGTTAGTCCACCTCCTGCTTTCAGACTTGCTCTCTGCGCCATCTGTCTGCCCCAAAGAAACCAGAGCGATCTCCCTAAGGCACAGATCTGACCATGTCCACTCTTCAAAAGTCTCCCCCTGCCCTGCGTGTCATTCATTCCTTAAAAATCCCTCGAGGTCCTGTGTGATCTTTCACCTGCTGACTTCAAGAGCCTGTTCTTCCCCCACCTCTCCCTCCTGCACCCTGTGTTTGAGACACCCTGAATTTCCCTAAGGTATCTCTTAGGCTTCTGCACCTGGACACAGGCTTCTGCCCCTCTCTGGGCCACCCATTCGTTCACCCGCCTCGATGATCTCCTCTGTGAAACCGTCCCAAACCTCAGACAGTTGGCCACCCAAGTACACACAGTCCATCATAGTTATCATACAGCTTCCCATGTGATTCCCTGTCAGATGAGCTGGGCACATGTGTTAGTCTTCAAGCAAAGCAAGCTGGATTAGTTGAGGCCAATTCAAACAAACTCTAATAAAAAGGGAGGCTTAGTGGCTCATGTACTCGGGAAGTTCAGGCTCTGCTGGATGCAGAGACTCAGCATTGACCCCTCTCTCTCTCCCTGCTTCTGCTTCCCTCTCTGTGTGACCTCACTGTCCTCTCCAGATGGGCATCTCCCATGATCTTTCACCTGCCTCAGGGGAAGATGGGTTCTCAGATCCCATTGTCTCAAATTAATAACCCCAAAGAAGAAAGTCAAATCTCCCAGTGCCCCTATATAAGAGTATGGGAGAGTGGCCCAGTTGGAGCCACATGTTCATCCTTGGCTTGATCTCTGTGTCCAGGAAATAGGATTCTACAGTTGGTCATGTCTAAGTCACATGCTTACTCCTATGACCAGGGAGGCAGGGAAGCAGGGCCAGTTACCAGAAAAAAAGGGTAGGAAAGGCTGCTGGTGAAGAAGAAGAAGAAGAAAAAGAAGAAGAAAAAGAAGAAGGAGGAGGAGAAGGAGGAGGAGGAGAGGGAGAAGGAGAAGAAGAAGGAGAATCACCAACTTTTGGGGGGTTGGTGTTGTTTGTTGAAGTGATGTGGAGAATCTCATGGAAATTTAGAGTTGGGCACTGTAGCCAGGGCCTCAACTGGGACTTGGGAAACTGTTGGGACCAGAGACAGCTCCCTCTCAGGGCAGCATGGTTCTTTTTTCATGGGGTCTCTACTACCTTCTGCACATTAGCTCATTCTGCTCACAGAGTTTCTACCCCCACTTAGTTTTATGTTGCACAATAACTGCAGCTCACTAAGGCTCATCCAGGTGTCTTGGAAGCCAACTGTATTTCATAGCATCCTCCGCTTCCACTCTGTGGTTGACTTTCCACGCCCTGTTTCCCAATTCCAAATTCCCAAAAGAGAGGACTCTGGCCCAGGTCAACATTTCAACCCAGGTCACAGGACAGCATGGGGATGTCTCACCTTTGTGTTGGGTGCTCACTCCCACCCAAGGAACTACCCTATACGTTCTTCCTAAGTAACCTCCTCCTCCATGAGGCACCTGAGAATAATTGACCCCTTCTTAGAGTTTCATTATTTATTGCTGTGTAACAAGTGACTCCAAAACTTAGTGCTTAAAACAGCAACAATTTTTTTTTCATGATTCTGTGGGTTGGCTGGGCTCAGCTAGGAGGTTTTCCTGCTTTGTGGCTGGAGTCACAGCCTCTCACTGGAGCTGAGCTGGGGCTGATGGTCTCACTCATATGTCTGGCAAATGATGCTGACAGTCACTAGGGAAGTCACTGTCCTCCACTGGCTACTTATCCTCCAGGGCTGCTCTGCCTCACCATGTGGACTTTCTGGCAGGAAAGTCTAGACATCTTTACCTAGTAGCTGAACCTCGAGAGGGCAAAAATGGAATTGCAAGGCCTCTTAGTCCTCTTAGGCCTCTTAGGGCTTAAGCTAGGAAGCTGTATAACATCACTTCTAGTGCATTCTACAAGTCAAAACAAGACACCAGGTCAATTCAGATTCAACTCCGGATGGGAGTCTCTGGATGGGAGATGTGTCAAAGTCATATTGCTAAAGGGTAACTGGGATGGGAGAGAGTTTGGGGTCATCAATGGAAAGAATCTGCCAAGGCTTGAGAAGGGCAAGTGGAAACACTTCCCCAATCCTAAAACTTTTTTGTTATTATTTCCCCCTTCCTCCCATATAAGGTTTGGTTAGTTCCTCCTTGGACGGTGGAGTCTGTCTGGGTCTCTCCATTTTGTACCCCCTTCCAGGCAGATGCCCTCCAAGCTAAGCCAGTGTTTTCTCCTTCTGCTTCCACCCACCTGTGCACACTTCTAGACTCACACAGAGATGCCCCTTGTCTGTTTCCTGGCCTGTGCCTTGGGATGGAAGGCATTAGTGTCTGCATCCAGGGCTCTCCACCAGTGCCCTGAAACTCTAGGATGGTGGTGCAAGGGTCTGATTCTCTTCTGCCCTCTCTCCATCCAGCCACTCCACGCTCTGTAACTGGGTCATCCTAAGCTTGGCTGGCGGGACCTAGGAGAGCGCGCCCCCTGCTGGCTATCGAGGGCCCAGCAAGAACTTGGGTTCAGAATCTCTGGGAGTCTCTCAGGTCCGGGGCCTCGAACAGGCTGAGGAGAGCCTTGCATCGACACGGACTTCAAGGGCCCTTCTGCTTTGATGGGGAAAAGCCGCCGAGCTGGGCCCTCCTCTGAGCGCGGAGCTGGAAGCGGGCCTCTGCTGGCAGACGGAGCTGTCCATCCACTACCTCCTCCTCTTCCGCGCAATGGAGTAGGGTTTAAGGGAACGCCGCTCAGGGTCCCAGGGTCCTTGCAACAGAGGGAAAAGGGCGCTTTGAGGCGCGGGGACAGATAGCTTTTCATTTTCTCTTTGAGATTCACCATCCTGGGGAAACAAGTTGTCAGTCTTCCCCTCTCTCCCCAGTTCTGAATCCGCCGCAGCCCGCAAATCCTGCTTCAGGCGCCTTCCACCTGAGAGCCGGAGAGGCCAACCCCCACCCCCACCCCATTCACTCTGGGCGTGGGGCGGTCCAGGAAGGAGAGCTCAGCTGTCCTCTGATACACGTACTACAGCAACACACCGGCAACCGAGAGGGCGAGTTTGGCACCGCCGCCCCCACCCCGCCCTCCCGCGGGCTCGTTCGCCCACACTCCCTGCCGCTGCCTGTCCCCTTTTCACGCCTGGGACGCGCCTCCCTCCCGCAGCCCAGCCCCGCGCGCTCCGAGTCTCCGCCGCCGTCTCTCTGGTCGGTTTACAGCCAGAGCATGGAAGCCGGGGAGCCCCGGGAACCCCGGGAGCCCCGCGAGCCCGGGCCGGGGGCGGAGACCGCTGCGGCCCCGCGCTGGGAGGAAGCCAAGACTTTCTCCGACAAACTCGTGCCCAAGAAGAAACCTAAATCGGTAAACACAGGGCATGGGCGTGGAGGGAGGAAAGGGGAAGGTCACCGGGGGAGGTGCCGTAAGCCCCCTGGAGAGGGACCTGTGGTGCCCCTCCGGGAAAGGACACAGGTCTTCAGCTCTAGAATGCGCCCGGCCGTTGGCGCGGGCTCGGGTTTATTTCGGGAGCTCTGCTTCGTGTTTTTTTCTGGGGCTCGGGTTCCACGCCAGGGTCCCCCTCCCCCATGCTGTCATCTGGGCCCAGCTCAGGGCCCCGCGGCTCAGCCCCTCCCGGAGCGGTCTGCCTGAGGCTCACGGGCAGTACTTGTTGGCAGAGCCGATCAGTGGCGCCTGCGGTAGCCACCCGGGCCCTAGTAACAGGACTCGGGAAACCCGGCTCCTTGCTGTGCGCTCCGGTTTCTGCCATCTGGGTACCGGCCTTCTGACAAGAGCCTCTCGGTTTGGGGTCTGGCTCAGGGCCCTGGACCCTGGGCTGGGGTGCTGTGCTCCCCGCGTCCTAAGGGTGCACTCAGGGCTCTGTACCCCTGGTTCTGGGCTCCCAATGCAGAACTCTGCGCCCCAGCTCCAGGCTCTGCTCCCCACGCAGTGGGCATTAACATCCCCCCTACCTACCGTGATGGTCTCAGCCCTGCAGGACTCACAGAGGAGAGAGGTTCTCTTCCCATCTGACAAGTCCTTGATGCCCTGGTTGGCCCCTGGGCCTTATTCACTCGCACTTCCCAGATCTCAGAGCTTGCCGAAGGGACGCAGAATAGAGGCTGGCTCAGAGCACCCCCTTGACCTTCCAGTGTCCTGCCGCTTCCATCCAAAGACCCAAGCTCAGGAGGCCCACCTGTCAACATTCATGACGTGCAGCTCGGCCAGGCCCCCTCAGCAACGGGACTGAGAGCGGGGTTAGGCTGGGTCCCTGCCTCAGGCGCTCACGCTGCACTGAGGGAGACCCTGCAAGTGATGAGTGCTCAGGCTAAAGGCCCTACAAGTGCAGTGGGGCAGAGGGAAGCAGTGACCGCCCACTAAGTTAGGCTTTGTAGAGGCAGCATTGGAGCTGATCTTGGAGCCCGAACAGGTGGTTTTTCCCAGGCAGAGATAGAAACTGGATGGGTAAAAGGCAAGGAGATGGCAACTGAGGGGGAGAGTGCAGGAGCTTTGGGAGAGGAGTTGGAGGAGTGCCAGAGACCCAGGAGGGCCTTGAGCCCCGTGTTAAGGAGCCTGGACTGTATTCAGGGAGGCTGGGGGTTTTAAAACTAGGTTCCATGGAGCCCCATGTTCCAGGGGGTCTGCACATGCGTGACTCCAATTTATTTTCCTTCTTCAAAGTATGTTTTAAGCAATGAAAAATGTATAATAAAACAACTCACTTGAATGTGTTATGTGGATGTTTTAGCACATTGGAGACCACTAAAATTAATTTATGCTGCAGGCTGATTATTAGTATTATTTTAACGTTTTTATTTATTTATTTATTTAATGTTTACTGTATTCTTTCGTTTTATTTTTAAGTATATTTTATTATGTTATTACAGTTGTCCCAGTTTTCCCCCCTTTGCCTCCCCCTGCCCAGTACCCCCCTCCCCTCCAGCATCCCCCCCGCCTTAGTTCATGTCCATGGGTTGTGCATATAAGTTCATCGGCTTCACCATTTCCTATACTATTCTTAACATCCCCCTGTCTATTTTGTACCTACCAATTATGCTTTTGAGTCCCTGCACCTCTTCCTCCATTCTCTCCCTTTCCCCTCCCAGTTGATAACCGTCCCAATGGTCTTCATATCTATGATTCTGTTCCTGTTCTGGTTGTTTGCTTAGTTTTTTGTTTTGTTTTGTTTTTTGATTCAGTTGTTGATAACTGTGAATTTGTTGCTTTTTTAATGTTCATCGTTTTGGTCTTCTTCTTTTTCTTAAATAAGTCCCTTTAACATTTCATGTAGTAATCACTCGGTGATGATTACTCCAGGTAGAGTAATCTAGGTTGTAGGTCCTTGCTTTTCATCACTTTGAATACTTTTTGCCAGTCCCTTCTTGCCTGCAAAGTTTCTTTTGAGCAATCAGCTGACAATCTTATGGGAACTACTTTTTGGGTAACTCTCTACTTTCCTCTTCTGCTTTTAAGATGCTCTCTTTCTCTTTGACTTTTGGCATTTTAATTATGATGTGTTTAGGTGTGGTTCCCTTTGGGTCCAGCTTGTTTGGGACTCTCTGTGCTTCTTGGACTTGTATGAGTATTTCCTTCACCAAATTAGGGAAGCTTTCTTTCATTATTTTTTGAAATAAATTTTCGGTTTCTTGCTCTTCCTCTTCTCCTGGCATCCTATGGTTTGGATGCTGGCATGTTTGGACATGTGTCAGAGTCTTCTTATACTCTCTTTATACAATAATGTTTTTGAATTCTTTTGTCTTCATTCTGTTCTGGTCAAATGTTTATTTCTTCCTCATGTTCTAAATCCTTGATTTGAATCCCAGCTTCCTTCCCTTCACTGTTGGTTCCCTGTAGATTTTTCTTTATTTCACTCAGCGCAATCTTCATTTCTTCCTTTATGTTGTTGCCACTCACAGGGTATTCTTTGAGCATCCCGATCACCAGTATTTTGAACTCTGCATATGATAGGTTTGTTATCCCCATTTCATTTAGTTCTTTTTCTGAAGTTTTGTTCTGTTCTTTCATTTGGGCCGTATTTCTTTGTCTCCTCAATTTGGCAGCCTCCTTGTGTTTATTTCTGTGTATTGGGTAGAGTTGTTTTGACTCCCTATAAAAGGCACCTGTAAATTGTGTGGGACAGGGTCTTAGGTAATCACCAGGGTGGGGCAACTCGCGTCACTGCTGTGGCTCTGTGTAGAGGGAAAGCTCGGAGAGGGGACCGTGCTGCTGCCTGGCCTCTGAGGGTTTGCTGGGCACTCGCCCCGTTTCTAGTCACTTCCCCCACTCCCCCTATGCGACTGGCGCCCTTCCAGCTGTTGCCCTGGTATTGAATCCCAGAGTGGGTGGGTATGCGAATGTTTTAAAACCATGCAGTCCCTTTAAATGGAATTCCTAAACATCCAGCAGTTTCTTCCATCATCCCAACCCACACTGGGTTTTACAGCCAGATATTAGGGGGATTTATGTTCCAGGTGCTGGAACCCTGGGTTGTGTGGTCTGGCCTGGGGCTGAGATCACTTGCTCCCAAGATATCCTCCCCGATTTTTATCCACCACATGTGAATGTGGGACCATTCCTGTTTCTCCATTGCTTCTCCACACCACACCTTGTCTTCTCTCCCCTCACCCCATCTCCATACCTCCACCCCTCCTACCCATCTGGATGAATGTGGCTTCTTTAAATTCCTGGTTGTCGGACTTCCATACAGTTCGATTTTCTGACAGCTCTGGGTGTTATTTATTTTGAGATTTACTGGTAATTCTTTTTGTGGTTGCGCGTGGAGATGAAGTGTGTCTACCGAAGCCTCCATCTTGACTGGAAGTCCCTATTAATATTATTATTTTTTTTTAGCAAACCTCAGAATAAAACTTTTCCTATTATCTGTTTAATAGAAGAGAATCTTAAAATTGTTGTCAATTATTGCTGAGTCTCTTGAGGCTTGTAGTTTAAAACAAGACAAAATACCTTTGATCATTTGCAGCCACCTGTTGGTATGAATCGGACCTTTCTCAATACTGTGCAAAACCCATCACATGCAGGAAAAAATTGACTAGATGATGAAGCTTAAGTCTGCACTGGCATCCTAACTCCCAGTTTCCAATTTGCCATTACTGCACAAACAACTGTGTTCTTTTCATTAGTTGATGTTATAGTAAGTACTTTATGTACATGTAATGCATTTGAATTTGTAAAACTTGTAAAATAAATTTATTCCAATAAGATATGATAATATCTAATTTACATATTGGGGTTTCCCCCAAGAGTTCATTTGAATAAAAGGTTAACCTACATTTTAAAAAAGCATGCAAACCATTATAGAGCAACACAGGATTTTATAGTGAGGGATTAACTTGTTTCCATTTTCACTTTAGAAAGGTCACGCTGGGCAGTGGGGTGGATGGATCGGAGAGGGTGTGTCTGGCAGCAGGCAGGCTAGTTAGAAGGCTGGTCCCTGTCTGAAGAGCAAGCTAGACTAATGTCATGGCCCGGGAGACAAAGAGAAGGGGATGGACTTTGGGAACTAGGGCGGTGAGTGGAGATCAATCCATTTCCTCCCCAGGCACCAAGGAATCCAGGAGCTCAGGCCCAGCTGTCAGTTATGACCTCTCTGTCAGCCCCTGACCCTCACAATTCTGAGAGGCAAGGCGCCTGGTGGCTTCCTGGCCCCTGCTCCTTCCTGCTGTAGCCCCTCCTCCCAAAGGCTATTTTGGGGGCTTTAGGCCTCATGGGCCACATCAGGGCCTGGCCTGGGCTTATTCACATTCCCAGGAGCCTGAGTGAAATATTTAAGCCCCAGACCCATAGGAGGCCCTCACCTCATGGGACCGGAGGACTTCCTCAGTACAAACCTATCTGCTTCTCTCTCTTCCAGCTGCCATTCTCCCTCTAAGTCCTTCTAGAAATAACAGCTTTGGGCCGTGTTCCTATCTTGGTCCCAACAGACAGGATCATATCAGTCTAAACAAGAGTCCCTCAGACAGGCTGGAAGGGGCTGTGCCACTCTCCGTTGTCACCCCAGTCCAACCCCTCTAAGCCAGAAGGGGAACACCAGCCTGGCCCCCACCCCAGTGGAAGGCAGAGAGCGCTGGCGGGCCAGGGCTCCCAGGCCGAGTTCCTGATCTCGGGTAAGGGTCTTTCTGACCTAGTTCCCTGTCTGAAATCTGGACTTCTTTCTGATTTCTGGGGGATCTGTCCTCAGGTTCCCCTGATAACACAGGACAGGGTGGCCTCCCTCTGCAGCTAGGCCCAGGAGGGTCTCTGAACGCTTGCTCCTACCCAGCCCTGGCCCACCCCTTTCACCCGTTCCTTCGGCTCCGCCTGCAGCCCGCGCCGCTCATCTCTTCCAGCTCCTGCCCTCCAGGCCCTGGGACTCCACCTCACTTGTACAGTGTCAGAGCAGGCCGAGCGGGGGCGGGGGGGTCAAGGTCCTGCCCTTGGGACCTACATTCCGAGGTAAAGAGAGGCCTGTCCTTAGAATCCTCAGTGTGAGGGCACTGCCCCTCACCATTTCTCCCAAATCTGGAAAGGGAGGGCTGCATGGGAGGGCTGTCCCAGGGAAGTGGCTGAAATAGCAGGGGTTGGGGGTCTCCTGAGAGTTACTGAGAAGGGGCCTATGGGGGATGGGGTGCTGCTGTGTAGATAGAGGCCAGAGATTTGGGATCTTATCCTGGTTCTGCCTTGACTTTGCTGTGTGACCTAGAGTAATTTTCTGTCCCTCTCTGGGCTGATTTCCCCATCTTTAAAAGAAATGGAGACTCCTGGAGGCAAGGCAGCTGAGACAGTTTTATTGCAATGGCCCAAGGTGGGATTGGATGGGGTCTGGGCAGGTCAGCCAGAGGGGACCCAGAACATGGCAGTCTGGCAGCAGGGACTGTGGGACAGAGAGTGAGGAGTGAGGCCTTGGCTGGCTTGCTGCCTGGGCTGGAGGGGCCAGCTTGGGAGCCTGCCTGAAGGGGCTGGGAGGACAGCCGATGCTCTGTCCTTGAAGAGATGGTGGACTCTGTCCCTAAGGCAGTAAGCCCAGGGGGTGGGACAAGCTCAGCCCCTGTCCTGAATGCCATCCAACTTCCTGGGTTTATGAGAGTAGGTCTCCCTACTCCCCCAACCCCACCCTTTCCATCCCTGGCCATCCCTCTATTGTTCTTTTTCTCCAGGTCTTTTAACTTTATTACCTCCATTCCTTGAAGGCTCACAGCTGCTGAGGGGGTTGGAAAGTACCCAGCCCAAGGACACACAGATACACTGAGGTGGCCAGTAACTGGGACAGTACTTGAGCTGAGCCCCAGAGGAGAGGCACCTGTCCTGCCACTGGCCTTAGACTGGCCCTGCTGGGCACATGCAGCACCTTGGTTGGAATAAAAGTCAAATGCAAACCGAGGCCTGCCTCACGAGCTTGGGAAACTCATTGGTCTTCCATTCCTGCTCTGAGGTTTCAAATCCTTACTAGCTACTTGCCAGTCATAGCTACTTCTGTAAATTGATTAAAATTAAAAACAATTAAAAATTCAGTTTCTCAGTCTCACTAGCCACATTTCAAGTTACTCCGTAGCCACCTGCACAGATCCGGACATTTCTGTCATCACAGAAAGTTCTTTTGGACAGTGCTCTTTTAAAGGATGGCACGAATCTCTGCATTGGGGACAGGTCATAAGCTCTATGGGGGCAGGGATCACACCTGTCTTATTTCCTGCCATGTCCCCAGAACAGTGCCTGTCACATGATAATCACTCAATGTTGTCAACTGATTGGAACCTAGGCTTGACTCCAGAAAGAAGCAGCGGGGCTAATGCGTGGCCGGCAGGACCGTCAGGAGCAGGCCCCAACTGGAGCCTCTCACTTATAAAGTAGGAATCATGGTCCCAGTACAGCTCAGGTCACAGAGATGTAGTGGGACTCTGGGTATCTGTGAGTCCCCTGGGACCCACATCCTGACCCTCCTCAGGGATTACAAAGGGCCCAGCTGGTGTCTGTTATGGCAGCCCCATCTCCATTCCACTGGAGGTGGTGGAGTCATTCTGAGGGCACCGGGGGTTCTGAAAGAAGGCCCTCTGCAACCTGGTGCCTTCCTACTCCTCTGGGCTCACCTGTATTCACACCCCCATGCTTGGGCTCTGCGCACCTCCGTGGATGCACCGTTTGTATGCACACGTCTTCATGCCTTCCTTCACCTTACTCCTCCTTCAAGTCTCTGCTCAAATGCCTCCTCTCCCGGGACAACTTCCTCTGAACCCCTGTCATCAAGACCTGGCTTTCACCTTTTTTTTGTCAGTCCCTTTTGCATCTCTGTTTACCTGACTTTCTCCCCCACCAGTCTGTGAGCTCTAAGGACAGGACCACCCCAGGCAGAGCCCATGTGCTTGGCACGAAGAACCAGTGAATGTTTGTCAAATTTTCAACAACCCCCCAAAAATATTATCTGAGCACCTGCTATATATCAAGTAATCTGAACAGATTACAGAGCTGCACTGAAGCTTCTAGTTCATGTTAAATTTGTCGTGGCAAATATTCTTTTTTTTTAAAGATTTTATTTATTTATTTTTAGAAGGAGGGGAAGGGAGGGAGGAAGAGGGGGAGAGAAACATAAGCGTGTTGTTGCCTCTCATGTACTGCCTACTGGGGACCTGGCCTGCAACCTAGGCATGTGCCTGACTAGGAGTCGAACCAACAACTTTTGGCTCACAGACCTGCACTCAATCCACTGAACTACACCAGCCAGGGCTCAAATATTGTTTCTTATTGAAATATGTTACTTAAAGGTTCAGAGGCATTAAAAATTTACTGAGCTCCTATTATGTACATTTCTAAGCACTAGAGATACACTAAATCAACACGATAGTCATAGTTCCTGCTCCCTCAGAACTTAGGCATGGTTCCTGCTTCCTCTCCAGAGTTCTGTCTAGATATAGAAATAATTAAATAAGCAATTATAATTTACTGTTAAATTTTACTAAAGAGGAAATAGAAAAATAAGAGAGGAAAAGGAAATAGGAGAGGTAGCAAACCCATGACCAGGCGTGAGGGAAAGCTTCCTAGAGGTGGCATGTATTTTGAGACCCAAAGGTTGGGTAGAAGTTAGCTGGACCGAGAGTCAAGGAAAGAGTAGATCAGGAAGGGGAACAGCATGTGCAAAGGCTCAGAGAAAGACAGGAAGGTGTGCTTCCACATGAGAAAGGTCAGCTTGAGCAAAGTGGGCTCATAGGAATGTAAGAGTGGAGAGAGAAGTAAGGGGTCTGTCATAAAGAGCTTCCTACTCCGCACTAAAGGCTGCTGGCTGGAGCCTGAGAGAAGTGGGCATTGCTGAAGGGGAGGGGCACATGATCAGATCTGAATGTGAGAAAAATCCCCTGGCAACAATATGGATGACAGGAGATGAGAGATGGTGATGGACTGGACCATGGTAGGGAAGACAGAAATAAGTGGACGGAGTCTAGTGGAGTTGACACGTGTTGGTGACTGATTGATGGGGAAAAGGAGCTGAGGAAGAGAGAAGACTTGCACTGACTTTGGGGCTCCTGGTTTAAGTGATAAGTGCATGGTGGTGCTGAGCAATGAGATAAGGAAGGAGGGAGGAGCCTAGGTTTAGGGGTGGAGAAAGTGGCAGCATTTCAGCCTTGAGCATGTTGAGTTTGAGTGTCTGTTAGTCAACTGGGACAGTCAGACACATGAGTTAGGAGCTCAGGAGACAGGTCTGGGCCGACATAAATTTTCTTATATAATTGTCATACTTCTAGGCACTGTTTCCTCCTAAGGGCCTGTAGCCCTCATTTTATAATGGAAACCATCTAGAGATCATCCTGAGCATCAGTCACACTCTGTGGCTCCATACACTGCATTCATTTTTCGGTTGTGTCCAGATGGCTGGCCACATTGCCAACTCACCGAGGGCATATCACTGCCATTCAATCATGCTTCTTCGTAGGGAGCCATCATCTCCCTCCATCCCCAGCTGGGTCCTTCACAGAGGGGTCCTGTCCTAGGGCTGCCCCCGTCCAAGACTAAGCCCCCTAAGGCCCAGGGCAGAGGTTGGGCCTGGGCCTTCTCCCAGCCCCACTACCCAGAGGGGCTGGCACATGAGACCCACCTCAGGGGAGTGTGAGTGATGGCCCTTCTCCTGTACTTCTGCAGCCCAAGCCTCAGAATGCAGTCACCATTGCTGTGTCCTCCCGAGCCTTGTTCCGCATGGATGAGGAGCAGCGGATCTACACAGAGCAGGGTGTGGAGGAGTATGTGCGCTACCAGCTAGAGCACGAGAATGAGCCATTCAGCCCTGGGCCGGCCTTCCCCTTCGTGAAGGTGAGAGATCGTCCACCACTAGCCATGCAGTGCCTTTGTGGGGGCTCAGAAAAAGCACTCCCATGGGTGTTTTAATAAGAAAGAGGGACCCTCGGGGAAGATGCTGCCCCACAGGAGCACAGCCTGGCTAGGGGCAGAGCCATGGTGGGAAGCAGGGGCCACCCCGTACTCTGGACTAATGCAGCCCCACACCAGGAAACCATCCAGTTTGGCAAGTAGAACATGGGCTGGAGTTCAGCCCCCACTCATGCTTTCAATAGATCAACCCACACAGCGGCAGAGATTAGGAGGAGAAAGTTTGATCTCACCCGAACCCTGGCCCTTGACCTCCTGTCCCTGTCCTCCCCAACCCTGGCTACCAACTCCAGATATTAGTCCCCGGGCATCTGAGCTGCAGGGTCCCCTCTCCCATCCAGGCTCTGGAGGCTGTGAACAAGCGGCTTCGGGAGCTCTACCCCGACAGTGAGGACGTCTTCGACATTGTCCTCGTAACCAACAACCACGCTCAAGTGGGTGTCCGTCTCATCAATAGCATCAACCACTATGGTGAGCATGAGGGATGTGACCATGGGGCACCCCTACCAGACACCTGGGGGTGGGGCCACACCCCTGCAGGGTAAGGGTATACCAACTAGAACCCCAAAACCAATTATGTGCTGGTAAACTGGCTCATTTTTAAAAGCAAAAACAAAAACGACAACAACAAGAAAACCTCCCAATTGCAGCATGGCCAGTTTCAGGGTGGAAACGTTCCCACCATGGCTGATTTGAAGCTGCCAACAGTTGAATAATCTACCTGGCTCAAAAAATCCCAGGATGTTTAACATTCGGTTCTTGCAAGCCGGTATAAACCAGCTCCAGCACACCACTGCTCAGGCCCCGCTCCTTCTGTGATAGGGCAGGGTACTTACTGCCTCTGTGCCTCAGTTTCTGCATCTGCAATGGGGCTAACAGGCCCCACACAGCTGATGGGAGAACAGGTGCAGTGATCAGAGTGAATGGGGCTTTGTGGCTTAATTCAAATTCTTGGTTGAAAATATAAGACCTTCCAGAGCTAGTTGACAAAAATCTTTTATTAGGTTATAGGAGTGTCTCTTAGAACCACAGGACAAGAAATAAAATCAGGCCTAAAAGGCCTGAATCGAAGAACTGGAAATCTCTCCTGGACTCTTCTCTCTCCAGGCCACATAAGCTCTTATTTCTGCTTCTCTCAGCAAGTCTGTTTCTTTATTTTGTTTTTTGTTTTTGTTTTTTGTCTCTTTCTGTCCCTAAACTAGGCAGGCTTCTTTGCTTTTCCTGAATGTGGCCAAAATTTTTAAGTGTACCAGTCCTTGTTTTAAGCAACCAAGAGAGTCCAGTTGGCATTTTTTAATCCTAATTTCAAGTTGCTGGGAATAGGAGTGACATTCAAAATATTTAACCACCTGTGATGTGTGGTTAATCAGGACGGACAGCGCCTATAGTTCTGGAGCCTGTCCAGACCACCTCCTGCTGTGCCCGGCATTGCCCCTTCTGTTGTGGATTACCCTGCGTGAGGGGTGGGGTAGTGTCGGGCTAACTCAGTGGACTCAGAGCAGTAGCCATTTACCAACCAGCAAATATTTTAGAACCTGTGCAGCCGTAGGTACTAGCTGGCTATCTGCCCAGGCTGTGAGAGAATCTGATTGGCCCAGCTGGGGTCAGGTGTCTGTCCTTATCCAATCAGCTGTGGCCAAGAGGTTCACTCATGGTTAGAGACCAACCTTGTGTAGAACTAGGATTCCCTGAGAAGAGGATGTTACTGTCAGCCAGGCAATCGCTCCAGAGGTGTGATCATCCTCACATCATGGATAAAGGATGGGGGTGCTTAGAGAGGGAGAACGCTGGCCTAAAGTCACTCGAAGATTCGCTCCAGTGCCCTGCCCCCATCATCACTTAGAACCAAGATGGTATCTATTGGACGTGGAGAGACCACTGTGAGGCCCTAAGGGCTGACTCAGGCATCACCTGGGTGTTCTGTACCTCTTCCCCAGACCTGTTCATCGAGAGGTTCTGCATGACAGGTGGGAATAGCCCCATTTGCTACCTCAAGGCCTATCACACCAACCTCTACTTGTCAGCTGATGCAGAAAAAGTTCGGGAAGCCATTGATGAAGGTGAGTGAAACTAGAGAGCAAGGATATGGGGAATCTGGCAAAGGGGTCCCAGAGGTGGGAGGCCTGGCTCTAAAACTCTGAGCAGGTGCTAGGGGTTGCTATGGTCACTGGGAGGCGACTACCTTTCTTAATTCCTATGGCCTGTCCCATAAACTGTGAGAACAAGGCCCCACCTATTCCACTTACTGCCCACCTATTCCGCTCTCCCACCCCTGCCCTACCATGTTAAGGATGCTTTAATTCAGCACTATCACCCAGGCTTCTGTTTCCATGGAAACCCTCCTTACAGCCCAGGGAGCTCCTCCCTTCTAGGAATCCTGCACGGCAGTAGGAGTTCTGGTTGCTGTGTGACCATGGGCAGCCTCCGCCCCTCCCTGGGCCAGTGAGGAGAGAGAGAAGTTTCTAGTCCAGCCTGAGCAGTGAGTGGGGTCTGGGAAATGGCCAGCATTCCAGAAGCTGAGGTGAGGTTAGGAGATCCAGCCACACATTCTGACAAAGAAAATTTCCCTCCATGTGTCCCTTTCAGGGGGCAGTTTCGGGGGCAGCCATAGCTGTGGTCCGACACAGGCTGACAGGCCTCTAGGCCCCGCTGCTAGAGAGGGCTCGTCAGGCTAAGCACTACTGGCAGGTTTATCAACCAGCAATATATTTACTCTTCTCTTCCTCCTTCATGCTGTCTCCTGCCTAGAAGCCTGGCTTCTCTCCTCCTGACGCCTCACTCCTCTGAGGTGTTTGGGCCTCTAGGAGGCTATCTTTAATCAGGAACCAGAAGCCATTTCCCTACACAGATGGCACACCCTCTGGCTGGGGCCTTGGCGCTGGCCTGCACGCGGGCCTCTATACATTTGCCATTTGAGCTCAGGCTGGAGAGCGGGTGGTGGTCGCGGGGGAGGCCCTGCTGAGGTAGGACTGGTTTTGGTTCATCTTGGCTTCAGTTATTGGCAGAGCTGAGAGGTTGCCTGGCCTGATGCTCAGGGCCTGGTCCTACTTATAACATCCTCAGGCCAGCAAAGTTGCTCTGGGGTTGGCACTGCTCACTTCTCCCGAAGCTCTGCCTAAGCCCAGCTCCTGTGGTCCCAGATTCCCAAAGAGCAGGGTTGAAGCAGCCTTTGGAGAGGTGAAGGACAGGGAATGGATTGAGCCAGCTGACCAGGTCTCCAGCCTCCTAGCACTGGCTGTCGTGGCCGTGGTAGCTGTAGCCTGGAGCCTGGGTTTCCAGCAGGCATGCCTGACCCTCTGGAGAAGCCCAGGGTTGCAGAGAGTCTGGGCCACAGTCAAATGTAATTAGTGCTGCCCCTCATGGCCACCCACGTTGCTTCAAGGAGCCCTGAATAGCCAGGCCGCCCTGATTAGGACATACCTGGGTGCCTTTGCAACAGTAGACTGAGGGTCCCCACACCCACTCCACTCAGGCTGCAGCCTGGGATCTCAGCTCCAGATGGAGCCAAAACATCCTTACTTTTACCTGGGCTTAGAGCAGGGGACAGGCTTGCTGGAATCTACAGCAAGAGAGTGAGGCCAAGGTAGGGTCAGTGCTCCTTCCTAGCCCCCCACAGGTCTTCATCAGCAGTCTGTGAGGAAGGACGTCAGCGGCCTGGGGGACCCTTCCTTCCAGCCAGGACTGATGTTCCAATGGTCCGTACCAGCATGACCTTACTAAATATTAAAGTATCAACATTCCTCCACACTGGTTGATAAATGGCTCCTGCCCCGAGTCCTCTAAGTGCCCTGCTCTTCCCTGGGACTCCCTCAGACCTTTCCACAAAGCAGCAACGGAAGGAAAACTCAGGCTTAGGCCAGGGCCCTCTGACACCTGCTCAGAGCAAAAACCACCATCCATTCTTATGGCCAGGTTTTAAATATTCTGAATATTGGCCCCCGTTAGCCTTGTTCCCTCTGAGCCCTGGGTGAGGCAGATGGGACAAGGAGAGCCTGAGATAGCCCTCTCCTGGCCCCAGGTGTCAGGAAGCCCCTATTGCCAGGATAGAGACAGACAATATTCGCCTCTCTCTGCCCAGGGATCGCAGCTGCCACCATCTTCAGCCCCAGCAGGGACGTGGCTGTGTCCCAGAGCCAGCTGCGCGTGGCCTTCGATGGGGACGCTGTGCTCTTCTCGGACGAGTCGGAGCGCATTGTCAAGGCCCACGGGCTGGACAGGTTCTTCGAACATGAGAAGGCCCATGAGAACAAACCCTTGGCCCAGGTGCTCCAAACACTCCCCAGAACCCTGGAGGGAAGCAAGGCAGCTCCCCAGAACCTACCCTTGGCTGGAACCTCCAGCCCAGAACCAAACTCTGAGCTTGGCCTAGAATCCAGCTGGGTCCCCTCACCAAGCCTCCAGGCTTCATCCCTCTCACTTGACCCCCTGGCTCCCCTCAGTGAGCTTCTTCCCCTTCCTGGAGCCCCTGTCCCCCTCGCTGCAGTCCCACCCTCCCTCCGAAGCCCTCATCTTCTCTCTAAGCCCCTCTCTGAAGCCTCTACCTCTCCTTTACAGCTCCTTGCTGAGGTCTCCATCCCTTCTCTCTCTTTTTAAAGATTTTATTTATTTACTTTTAGAGAGAGGAGAAGGGAGGGAGAAAGAGAGAAAAACGTTGATCTGTCGCCTCTTGCACACACCCTGTCCAAGGACCAAACATGCAAGCCAGACACGTGCCCTGACCAGGAATCGAACCGGCAACGTTTTGCTTTGCGGGACAATGCCCAACCAACTGAGCCACGCTGGCCAGGGCCTCCATCACTTCTCTAAAGTCCCCACTGCACTCTGCAAGCCTCACCCTCTCTCTTTGAAGCCCCCATCTTCTCTCTGGAGACCCGCCTACCCCTCTGAGGAGGCTCCCCTCCTCTCAGGAAGCCCCCACTTCCCTTGCTGGAGGAAAGAGAAAGCTGGACTGGTGCTCCTCACCGGGGCAGGGAGATCCAGCTGGGCATGGGGTCTGGAGCAGCCCCTCTGCTTTGGGCCAAACATCCCTAACTACCTCCTGCCATCCATCCCTTGGCAAGAGGCTCAGGGACCCTCACTCACTGTCATACTGCTCAGGGGTCTCCCTGAGAGCAGAATATGCCCTAGAGCCTGGTTGCAATTCCTTGGGGTTGGAGCTGCTGGACTTCTCCAGCCCTCCTGGGAGCTCCTATTTGTGAGTTTAACAAAAATCTCGACCATCCCGGAGCCTCTCTCTCCAGGGCCTCAGCAGGCTCCTGTCACGGCCCCGAACATTCATTTCACTTCCAGTCTCATTAGTTCCCTCTAAAATCCTTGGGAATCAGGGCAGGACAGATTTCCCACTAAGTGGTAGGCAGAGCCTAGGAGATCACTGCTTGCTCCAGTCACCCAGCAGGTGAGGGGTCTCCAAAATTGGAAGCCCACCTTTCCTTATTTCTAGCTGCTGTTGTAGTTTCCTTTTCTTCTTTCTTTCTTTCCCCCTTCCTTCCTTCCTCCCTTCCTTCTTTCCATCCTTCCTTCCTTCCCTCCCTCCCTCCCTCCTTCCCCCTCCCTCCTTCCTTCTCTTTCTTTCTTTCTTTCTTTCTTTCTTTCTTTCTTTCTTTCTTTCTTTCTTTCTTTCTTTCTTTCTTTCTTTCTTTCTTTCTCTTCTCTTTCTTTACCAGCACCTGGTCCTTTATTCATATGTCCTCATTAACCTTCATTGTACCCAGCACCGCGGAGAGTAAACCCTTTCCCTGACCCAAGAGAGCCAGAGCATGACACCCTGAGCCAGTCACACACTGGTCTGTCCATCCGTGTTGTCTGCAGCTGGAATCCACTCTGCCTGGAGGATATTTTTAATATCCTCCCTGCTGGGGAACATAGAAGGTCATATTACTAAGCAGCAGGACAGACACCCATATTCCCTGGGGACACAGAGACCGACATACACAGTAATAGCTGTCCTGGTACAGCTATCTTGACACAGACAGTTCCATTGATGCACAGAGTGGCCTGAGCAGGCAGAGCAGAACTGAGAGACGTGGGGCTCTTGAGAAGCTTTCCCACGCCAAACATCAAGACATGAGTGCTTTAGGGAGGAGCCCAGCGGGAGAGGGGTGGGGGTAAGTGTTCGGGAGAGGGATGAGTTCACAGTCTTCCCTTGCCTTCTCCCAGGGACCTTTAAAGGGCTTCCTGGAGGCCCTGGGTAGGCTGCAGAAGAAATTCTACTCCAAGGGCCTGCGGCTGGAGTGCCCAATCCGCACCTACTTGGTGACGGCGCGCAGTGCTGCCAGTTCTGGGGCCCGGGCTCTCAAGACCCTGCGCAGCTGGGGCCTGGAGACAGATGAAGCCCTGTTCCTCGCAGGAGCACCCAAGGGCCCCCTGCTCGAGAAGATCCGCCCGCACATCTTCTTTGATGACCAGATGTTCCATGTGGCTGGGGCTCAGGAGATGGGCACAGTGGCCGCCCACGTGCCTTACGGCGTGGCACAGACACCGCGGCGGACTGTGCCTGTGAGGCAGGCCCCAGCTACACAGTAGCTGAGCCCCCAGCTTCACTGACCCACAGTGCTCCAGGCACAGCTCCCTGTCCCACGTCGGCGTGTCGTCCAGTGGACCGACCCTCCTGATCCCTTGCCACACTGCCTTGCTGCATGTCTGCCCTCAGCCCTCTGAGCGAGGTACTAGTAGGCAATGATGCAGACGGGGCTGGCATTCTCTCCAGCCCGCATCCTGGGCCAATGCTGTGCCACAACGCTGGTTAGGAAAGTAAGACTGTGGCTGGACTTGCGGGGAAGGGAAGGTGATGGGGCTGGACATGGGAGGGTCCAAGGAGCCAGGATGCCTCAGAAGGGCTCTGGGATGAAAACCAGCGCAGTGTCGTGGAAAGGACACTGCGCAGAGAGAGAAGGACCGGGCCTCTGAGCTCTGTCCTGCCATTAACCGCCTGACTTTGAGTGAGTCCCTCCCCTTTGTGGACCTCAGCGCCCCATCTTTTAGGTGGTTTTCAAACTCTCCTTTAGCTAAAGAAGCTTGTTTTTTCTAAGATTGCCCTCTTTGAGGGAAGGATTCTCTGCCAGGGCTGTTGCTGGCCTGCACGGCACCTTTGTGCAGATAACAGAAGGACGCTGTTTCTAGAATGAATTTTGAAAAGAAGGCCCTTCCTCTGCGCTGCTGTACCCGTGCTGGGCACACAGCTTGCTGAGCAGGATATCAGTGGGATGTCAGCCCCCACCAGCTCCTCAGCCCAGAGGCCTTTGTCAACTGGGCGAAATGCACAAAAGGGTCGTCCACAGCAGCCCTACCTATAATTTTACACACTTGAAAACCACTGGACAAGATGACCCATTTGCTTCCTGTGATCCTCTAATCTGACTCATCAGGGGTCAGCTGCCAAGTGGGGATGTCTGTGAAAGGAATGAGCGAGTGGATTAAACCTGCATGCAAACTCCAGTCAAGCCAGCAGGGGGCACTGCAGGCACTTCCTGGGGAGCCGCCTTAGTGGCAGCCTGCTCAGTGCTTCCATTGCTTTTGCTTTTAGCCAAAGTTCAGTTCCTGCCTGCCAACTCCCTCACCTCAACACTCACTCCTTCAATTATTGCATCCTGCTGTGTCACCAAGCAGCCCTGCCAGCGGGGGAAAAGGCAGAGGATTGGGGTTTACTCTTGTGGGCCCAGGGGGCGAGAGCTCAGTGGCTGAAGCGGAAGGTGGTCCAGGCTGAGCTTCCAGGAAGGAGGGTCTGCCTGGGATGATGTGCGATGTGTGAGGAGGTCTGGTCTGCGGCAATGACTAGTTAGGGAAGAAGGCGCTGAAATGTGCTCTGGAAGCTTCTCCAGCTATGGGATCGTGAGTGGCGGTAATGAGCTCTCTGTCACTGGGATGCTGTGCAGGGGACATGCTCCGAGGAACACCTATGAATCCTCCGCCCTTGCAGGAGCGCCTGCAGCCCCTTCGTCACCACTTCCAGGGTAGAATTTTCACTGCTTGATGAGTCGGCCCCCTCCTTTGCTAACCAGCCCAGTTCTCTCTGGAGGGATGGTGGGCACCAATGGCTCGTCCCTCGGGAAGACCCAGAGGTGTGAGTGGACATCTGTATGGGGGCGTTGATTGCCCAGTTCCTGGGTGGGGCGGGGGACTCCTAGCTGTGAGCAAGCACTTTGTGAAGAAAGCCAAAGGTACTGTCAAAGTGGGCCGGAGCCTGGAGGTGTGTGCCGGAGAGCCGGAGTGCTTGTGGAGGCGGGGCAAAGGGGTGAAGGACCATCCAGGGCCTGACCTTTGTCCTTCTGAGGACTCAGCCCAGGGTCTGAATGGGCACAGGTTCTGGGCAGCGCAGGTAGGGCAGTCATTACAGAAAGATCATCCAGGAAGGAGAAAAAAGTGAGGACCCAGAGGCAGTTCTCTAAATGACCAATAGTTCAGCCAAAATTGAAGTGCTTGGCTGGGCTTTTACCACCAGCACCCAGAGGCTGGTCCTGGGGCAGAAGGGCAAGGCTGTGCTGAGTGCGCAGGGCAGGTGCCCAGCACTGACTTATCAGGGGGAGGGCATGTGATGAAGATGTCTCTGCATAAGGCCCTTTTCATCCACAGCCAGAATCTTTTTGGGCAACAGAGCAAGCTTTCAGGGCAGAGGGCCTGGTTTTGAGCTCCTTCCTCTACCCATGCTCCAAGCCCAGCTGGAGTTAGTATGAGACCTAAAGGGGAATGAGAAGGAAGTCAGAGAGCTCAACCTAGGTCACTTTTGATCTTGGCTGAACCATAGCAACATCTTCTGCTCACCATCCCCTCGGTCAGAATCTCCCTCGTGGATGGGCCTCCAAGGCTCCCAGAGCCAGACAGAATGGCTGTGTGATCAGGGTGGACATGCACTGTGAAAGCAGACCAGATGTCCCCTAATTAAGATAAACCCCAGGGATTCTGGGAATCAAGAAGTCCTGCCTCCAGGCCCTTGTGATAAAAGCTGCTGATTCTTCTAGGTCTCTCAGGGAGCCAAAAGATAAGGTGCAGTAAAAGCCTGGATTGCACTGGAGCCTCCATTAATAGGCATAGACAGCCCTGGGCAATGAGAGACAGTGGGGTCCAAATTCTATTACTGAAGCCATAAAGATTGAGCATCTCAGGCCTGCAAAAAAAAAAAAGCTTTCAGAGGCTGGAACAAAAGGCTGATAGTTCTGAGGGCAGGTTTAGGCAGCAGCCAGACACACCTGATTGTTGCAAGAGCCAAGGAGAAGCACTCACCAGGCATTAAAAAGTCAGGTGAGCACTAAAGCCTCAGACCCGACAAGTCCTGCAGCGCTGGGGCCCGACACCGCAGCTCCCGACATGCTGGACCCCTGCAGCCAAAAGATTGCAGCCCAACAGGTCTTACAGAACTTGTCCCAGGAAATGCTTGCCAACAAAGTCCCAGGCCCACTAGAAACTGCCACTTAGCAGAAGAACAGAAGCCCTGATAGAGCCCTGAGACCACTTAGATCATTGCAAGACATCCCCTCCCTCTCCCGAGAGTCCAATCAGAATGGTGGGGATATAGCAGAAAATGCCAGAAGAAATCAAAACTAGTAAGAATTTCAAATACAAGATGGATCTGGCATCGTAACGATATTCAACTGGTCTGCACCAGTACAGCCAAAATATTGAAATGTCTTCAGAACAGTTGGTAGGTTGCTCTGGACTGAGTCCCTGAGTGGGTCTGAATGGCCTCAGTCGCCTTGCCCCCTCCACTGTGACTGCCCCCCTTCCCACCATCCAGTTAAAGAGGCTTCTCAGGTGGCTTCTAGGAGGCTGCTGCTGCACGATGGACAGTGTCCCCTCTGTTTGGTGGTGCCTGTGTTGGTTTAGAAAGGTAAAGCAATTTCCCGGTCACAAAGCTAGTACACGGCAGCACAGGAACTCAACAAAGTTTGAAAGGAACTCAAAGCGGGCCCACCAGGCTTTTAACCATTTTGCTATATGGCCCATACATGTGCATAGCGGTGACAATAAAATCTTCATAACAAAGTAGTTCACCAAGAGTCTGTTAACATACTGGCCTCCTGCATGTTAAAATGCTTAGTACTCTTGAGTGGGTACATTTTTTACAGCTTCCTAACTAGCAAGGACAACTTTAGAGTCAAACGTTTGCAGAGCCTTTGGAGCACCTCAACACCCCCAAGTTCTGAGGAACCCAGTTTAAAGACCCGGAACCGATCTAATGCAGGGTTGGTAAACTATGGTTCTTTGGGCCAAATAAAGCTCACTACCTGTTTTTGTAAAAAACAAACAAACAAACAAACAAAAACCTTTTATTGGAACATAGCCATGCCTCTTTGTTTACGTATTTATGGCTGCTTTCACACAGCAATAGCAGAGGTGAATTCTTTTAACAGAGATCGTGGAGCTGAAAATATTTATCTGGTCCTTTACAGAAAAAGTTTGCTGACCCCCCAGGCTAAGGCAAACATCCCCAGCTTGCTCTCCAGTGGGAACGGCCAGCTCACAGGCACCCAAGCGCTAGGAGGCAGAGGCTGGCTCCACTGCTGAGGGCGCAGCCTGGGGCCTGGGGGAGATGTACGTGCCCATCCGCAGGCACTGATGGAGCTGTGGAGTCGCATAGGTACCAGCTCAACACCCCGGTGTTAAACACAGCAGACGCTTGTCATGTGATGAGTTAAGATTTCAAGTTTTGACTACTTTCAAGTGACCTGTGTCCTGTTGTAATTTGAAATGTGGTTGATGCACAGATTTGTCTTATGTGTGCCCCCCCCCCCCAAGCCAATGAGCAAAGGGCAGGGAGCAAGACTCCTGTTTAGGGCTAAGCCCGGCTGGTTGTCCAGCATCTACTCAGGACGGTTTTGTTGTTCTTGTCATCGCCCTCATGGGCCCACTTGCGAATGATAAATGCAGGCGGATGGACAGGCCTTAGCTAAATATGAATTTTGGGTGAAGTACCCAACGTTGATTTCAGTGCTCAGATCTAACAGATCATCCACATGCTCTCTGTGGAAGCAAAAACAAGCTCTTCACAAGGACGGTCCCAGTGTGGCTTTAGTTGGCTCAGGAGTTATGGATCAAGTGAGAGAGAAAAATCCAGTGAAAACTGGAGTGGCAATTTTCTTGTGCGGTGAGGTGTGGCCAAGAGACACACATACCTCATGACAGAATTGTGGAGCAGGAGAAATCTGCAGATTTAGGGATTTACCAAGGTTCCAGGATCCATGGCAAGAAGAAATGTGGAAGCCGCCCTACCTACAGCCATGGTTGCTGTCGCTGCTCCACCACGATACTCTTCTCCGCTAAGCCCAGGCATTCCAGGCAGTCACTACCAGTGCGTTGGAGGGGGCAAGAAAGATGAAAGCCTATTTTGCCATCTGCATTGGATACTGCTTTGGATGTGGTATGCAAGGCCCTGAATACTTATTTTCTGATGCTGTAGTGCTACTCTGAGATTTCCAGGGTCTCACCCCACTGGGACAGAACACAAAGAAGGAGAATAGCAGTTGGCAGCTTCCTTGGGAGTGCCTGAGAAACAGTGTCCCTGGTTTTCACTCACTCTTCAAGCAAAGTGCAAACACCCATCCTGCCAGTAGGTGGCGCTGCAGGCCCGCACTCAGCTGCTTGTGGCGGTAGTTGTTAGTGGTTTTATTTACCGGTTCCTTTATCTCTCCTCCCTTAGTATTTGGTGCTGTCTTGGACTCCCGCAGGTACCTTAGCCAAAAAGTATTGTACTTTAGGCTCTGAAAGTGTTTGTTAAGTGTACCTGTCTGAGGAGCTAATTGCTCTTACAATAATTGTGATGGTGTGTATGGACACACTCAGTGTGTGCCTCAGGATAAAAAACCATGCGTTGTATGCATGTTTGTGTAGCTGTGTGTAATCGGTCAGCTATCTGCTGACCACTCTGTGTCAGTGTGTGTGGGTGTGTACAGGATGGTTATCTGTTGACCAAGTGTCCTGGGCCCCACACACTGACGGCCAGCCCTGCTTCCTGGGACTAGTTCTGGCTATTCCTATCATCTCGTGGGCATTTGCACATGTGCCACATGGGGGTTGCTGAGGCCAGGCCCTTTATCTTTCTCTTCATCTTCTCGCTTCTGGCCAACAAGGTCTTGGCTCCTAACACTCTGCCTCCCACCCCTACTCCCTGCAGCCTTAGGAAGGAAATGGTAGAATCTGTGCTAGGGCGCCCCTTTTGGCTACACCTGTCTTAAAATCTTCACTTGTTTCTCCCCTCCCCCTGACAGTCCAAAGCTAATGTGCACAGTTGGGAAGACTGTGCACTGCACAAGTCCAGACGGAGCCATTCACATCATGATGTGAGCGGTACTTCCTAGGCAGCTGCAAAACCTACCAACTGTGCACAGCTGCCCTGGTCATCTCATGGCCATGATGGGAAAGCCGCCTTCTTCACTGTGCCCCCTGGCCCCGCCCAGCCTAGGCTGGGATTCCTTCCTCTGTTTGTGTGTTCTAGTCTGGCCCAGAAGTGATTTACCCTTGGCCTTAGTCAGGAAGCATCTCCCTGATGGGCCATCCACAGAGGCCTTTGGGATTCAATTTACGAAAGTAAGATATGGCTGGCAACCTTTCAGTCACTCATCTGTAACACAAACCAAAACTTGGTAGACTGGGGTCACTGCCTCTCACGCTCCTGGCCTCTGGGTAAATGTGCCTTCACAGGCCGACTGTTAAGATGAGTCTGCCATGGAATTAGAGTAAAGGCCTCAGGGCTAGACTTATAACTGCCACCAAATAGAAAACCATGAGAACATCACAGACAAATGCCTGGGCCAGATCCCAAACCCTGATGCCTCCAAGGGCCAGGCAGGAAATAAATAAAAAAGCGAAGAGGGCCAGGCAGTGTCTTTAGTGGAATGGAGAGCACACACTCTGTTTGACGTGGCTCCTACCCTGTGGGAACGTGGGCTGGTGTTGCCAGATATTTCACCCCAGTTTTCAAGGGGAACTACGAATCTGGGCTTTTAAATGTTGGCAACTATTCTGAATTTAGAAAACACTGTGCAGGCCAAATAAAACACACCTTCTAAGCTAAATCTGGCCCTTCCGTCTCCAGTTTGCACCCTCTGGCTCAGGTCCAGTGGATTGAGTTTTTCAGAACCGAGTAACTGAGTGTAAGGATATTACATTCAGAGGAACAGAGTTTTACATCTTTAAGAGACCTTAGAAATAATCTAGTTCATCCCTGTGTGTTTTAAACTGTATACATACAAGCTTCTTTACTAACTTAATAACTCACATATCCTTAACTTCTAGTTTTCTCCTTAAAAGCATCTCAGTACCCCCAATTTAGAACAAGATTTAAAATGAAGCCTCTACGTATAGTATGTCTGTATCTACCTGTCAGCAGCCCTATTTTATGCCATTTGCTTAATGATAGCTCTACCTCTGTCTTTTGCAAACGTGAGCTGTCCTGGTCTTCCTCCTAACCCAGGGGTGTCCAACCTTTTGGCATCTCTGGGTCACACTGGAAGAAGAAGAGTTGTCTTGGGCCACACACTAAATACACAAACACTAACGAAACAAACAGACAAAAAAATCTCATGATGTTTTAAGAGAATTTACGACTTTGTGTTGGGCCTCATTCATAGCCATCCTGGGCCACATGCAGCCTGTGGGCCGCGGGTTGGACACCCTGCTCTAACCTAACCTCCTTGGATTGCTTTTTATGGCAAAGCTCTTAAGTGCCTCCTTGAACAGTTGGACCACATTCCTCTTTATCTATGGGACTTTCATTGCCCGGGGATAGATAAGACTGCTCATACTTTTCTCAGCTTTTCCCCTCCTCAGGCCACTATCAGCCTTCCCCAGCCCCCAGCTCTGTCTGGCTCCGAAGCGTTTACCCAATCACATGATAAAGGGTGCTGCGTGCTTGTCAGTGTGGACCCCTCTCGCTCATGCTCGCCTGTACCATAATTTTACAACATGGGCTTCTGCTTCTTAAAAGCCATTCAAATAAATAGGAGACATTTAAATTAAACGTCTATTGTCTTGTTTTCCCCTCTCACAACTGTAGTCACAGACTGGCTTAAGGTCGCATCAAGAGATGCCACCGTGGGCACACAGAGTGGGCAGGCCCGAGGTCAGTTCCACCCATGGGTGTCCGTGTCTCTCTGCAGACCCTCTTGCCACACAGGAAGAACACTCAGAGGGGAGATTCTGTGACGGGCGGCAGCCTGAGCCCCGCAGAAGACAAGCTTCCCCTAGCAGGGCTCTTGGCATGGACTCAGTGTCCCTACCTGGAACCAACAAGGCTGGGGGGCGGGTAAAGTGGAAGGAAGAAGAGGAGCTAAACAATGATGTGAGATGAAGGAGGAAGGGGGTGACACTGACTGCAGCCTCAGCCTCACAAAATCCTTGCTCCGGCCCCCCAGGACCCCCAGAGCCCACCTAACCTAGGGCCAACACAGCTCCGCCAGTCTGTTGACCCATGTTTCTCCTGCCACTCCCTTCACCTCCATCAGCGGGGGCCTGTCAGGGAGCATCTGAAACAGCACTTTCTCAACTAGGCTCCCTCAAAAACTCCATAGATCATGAGGGATAGGTCACCCCCTCCCTTGAACAATCTTTAGGTCTATGGCTCTTTCTCCCATAGCCCAAATGACTTTCTCCAGGTTCATTTTGGTGTCCCCAGTCCTAAGTGTGAATCATGTCAATAACTGTGCCTATAATTAGACGGCTGAATCCAGGCCTGATAGGACTGGGCCAGCTGTTTGCAGCCAATGTCACTTCAGGTTGGCACCCACATATTATTATACCCCCACCAGCGTGGTATAACTTATCCAAGTTTATCTTAATCATTCCCCTACTTCCAGTCAATCTGAGACCCAAATATGCCTCCTTGATTCTCTGACCCCAAGTCCCCCACCTTCCCACCCTATCACCAGGAATAAGGAGCAATGTGACTCCTCATCCCTTTCCTTTCTCATACCTCCCCTCCAGCAGATTCCTTCAGGGACCCTGGGGTCACCTACTTGGGAACGTCATGGAAACTTTGTGTTCTGAGATGTCTTGGTCTCGCTGTAAAGTTTTTATAATGTCCGAAGGCCAGCGGCACCAAAGCTGCTTATACTGGTTTGTAGCCAGTGGACCATGACTAAGGTGAGGGAGAGGGCAGGGTGGTGGGAGGGGGAAGGGAAGGCTGGGAACCCGACATCCTCTCCTGCCCGGGCCTCTGGTGCCATAACCAAATCCTCTACTTTCTGACATGATCTTGGACTATATTTGGGAGCAAAAGCACCAAAGCATAGCAGAGATGTGACTGTGGCTTGGAGCATTGGGATGGAGAAACTGTAGACACAATGCTTTCTCCTCTCTTGTGCCCTCCCTTTTCAACTTGCAGAGCTCTTCCAAGACCTGTGAGCTATACAGCCTTCATTTTTTTCTTTTGTTTATTAGTGGTCTGTTTTATTTGCCAGTAGGTCATTAAAAAAACCATTGTGTAGCTCAAGGATAAAATGACAAATTCACATAACAGTTAATAGAATAGAGTCTGTTCTAAATATTTACACAAATCATTTAATTCTTATAATAATCCTGTGAAGTAAATACTACTATTATCCACATTTTACAGATGAGGAAACTGAGGGCCAGAGAAGTAGCTAGTAAGTGGCATAGCTTGATTTAAACTCAAGTTGTTGGTTCCAAGGTGTGTGTCTTAAGTGCCATGCTATACTGACTCTTTCACGTTTGGTTTTTCTGGTTTTTTTGTTTGTTTTTTGGTAGAGAGGGGAAGGGAAGGAGAAAGAGAGAGAGAGTAACCTCAATGCAAGAGAGAAACATTGACTGAACACTTCCTGCAAGCACCCCAACTGGAGACGGGGCACGGAGCCCACAACCCGGGCATGTGCCCTGACCAGGAATTGAACTGGCGACCTTTCGGTTTGTGGAATTATGCCCAGCCAACTGAGCCACGCTGGCCAGGGCTTTCATTTATATTTTTAAGATAAAACACATGTGAGAAAATTTAAGAATTCAGTAAGATAGTTTGTGCTATCCTGAGCTTCAGGAATAGTACAGATAGTTTTCTGCCATTTGGGTTACTCCCAGGGGAAAGCTGGGTTTTTAATGGACGACTCTGTATGAAGCAGAACCATCTTTCCAGAGACAAAAGTACTGGTACCCCTCGTCCCACTGCTTTTGGATCTGGTCAGGGAAGGCATGAGTGAGAGCTTCTCATTCACATCTTGCAATGGTGAAAGCCAAGTCTTAGGGGAAATGACGTGTCTGAGGACACATGCTAGTAGGTGCAGAAAGGAAATCTAATGTCAGGGTGTTGATCCAAATTCAGTGCTATTCCCTCTGAAACCCCACATTTTTGCCTGACTTCATGCGCATCATTATTCTTTGATTCATCTGGCAAAGCCCCTTGAGAAGCCTCGTAAAATTCCTTGTGGTTTAAAGCTCAGCCCAATGTTAGCATAGCACAGCCACAGCCCAAGGGTGCCAACTTATCACCTGCTTGCTGGGCTGGATGACCTTGCAAAGCACGCATCCTCTGCAGCTACCAGGAGGGCACATAACTCATATTTGCCTTCAAGATAACCAGTTGTCAGGAATATCATTAACCAACGACCTCCAGCTGCTGCACCTCCGGATCCAAAGACGGCCTGTTTTCCCATTGGTGTCTGGGCACAGCGCGGAGAGACAGCCAGGCTATTTCAGCCCTGCCTAGGGCTCCTCTCATGGACTGTCTTGACTCCGGGCCTGACCCAGACGTTCCCAGACCTGCATTGCAGCCTGAGGCTCTTCCTAGTCATCCTTCATCATCAAAAGGCTCTTTTTGCTTACTCTAGCTTCCTCCCTTTATTTTTACAAATGTTTCCCTCAGTAAACCTCTTATACCTCTGATTGGCCTTAGCACCTGTCTTCTACAAAACCTGAACGGACAGACCTTCTCTGGACCATAAGCCTCACACCTATCTGCCCCTTGCGATAGTTTGTGCCTGATGCTCTTACAGTCCTTCATCATTACTAAGTGGCAGAATGGAAGTGTGGCTTCCCTGGGAGCTCCAGGAGCCATGGTGGAAATCAACCGCAGCACAGCCAGAGGAAAGAAATGGCTGTTTCTGAAGTCTGGGGCTCCCGCCCAGCCCCCACGCTCTCTCAACCCTGCTATCACTTCCCAGCCTCCTTTTCCCCAAGAGGGGAAAAGGGCCTCAGAGCCTCGGACTGGGGCAGGAGCCCTGAGTTTTAATCCAGTTTCTACTGCTGACTTACCTTCTCTGGGCTTCAGGAGGAAGGGGGACCATGGCTCTTTTGGGGGTTTAAGAAATCCCTTGGCAGCTGGTAAGCTACTTCCTTTGCCTGTTAAGACCAGACCTGGTGGGAAGCTAGCTCCCCTGGCAGTATGGGGGTGGGGCCATGCCTAAAGCCATGTCCTGATCATGCTTGGACACCCACATGTTATGGGGTGCTGTGCCTGGGCTCCTGAGAGTGGCCATCAGCCCCAGAAAGGACAGCTCCCTGGGGAACCACGGTCAGGGGAGGTAAGCAAACAGTAGCTGTGTGTTGAGGTCAGGCTATCCTAGAGGGAATTATGGGAGTACAAGGAGGCAGTACTAGTACCCGAGGGAGGCAGGACAGACTTCCTAGAGAGGGACTTTTGTGTTGGGCTTTGAAGGCTGAGTAGGAGTTTTTCAGATAAAGAGAAGGGCTTTCAGTGTACACAGATCATAGACTTGGAAGCAAGAACCCATGTTATGTGTTCTAAAACATGAGAAATGACAGGACTAGAGAAATGGTGAGAGAGTGAGCTGTGTCTAGACCACGAAGGATCTCTAATAAGGTCAAGGTTCTACAGCCTTCACTGTTACACATAGGAGAGGGATGTTAATTATTTTTAATTAGCCGTATTTTTAATTTACAGATGAACAAACTGAGGCCCTGAGAGAGGGAAGGGACTCTGACAGGAACGCAATGGGCGGTGTCAGGACCCAATTATTCTTGTGGGGCCAGAGGAAAAGTCACCTTCTTCTTCTTGTGTGGGCAATGCCAAGGACCGCCTCCCCAATCTCCCCCTGCCCCTCCCCATGGCCATCTGACATCAGGGAGCATGGTGTCTTCAGTCCTTCTCCTTCCTCCACCCCCGGTGTCCTTGTCCATGCTGACATCATGTACACATGGAAGAGAGATCTGCAGAGATTCCAGAGAGGCCAGAGCGTGGGAACCAGGACAGATGCCGCTGGCGCTGCCCCAGGGCCGGGAAGCCTCTGGAGCCTCTGGGTGCTGCCAAGGGGGCTCTGGAATGTGCCCGAGGCCTCTGGCTTCCTCCATTGCAGCCCCTCAAGCCTGGGAAAGCTTGGAGGCTCTGATCACCCAGCCACCGTGTGAGCCTTGAGCAGCCTATGCAGGGTGTTGTGCGGCCCATACCCAGGAGTGTTTGTGCGTCCTAACAGCGGGGCCAGACCAGCCGGCCTGCTCTCAGGGGCCCTGCAATGGGGCCACTGGACACCCAAAGATGGAGCATGACCCTCATGAACTCTGCAGCCCAGGGATGGAGAAGGGACCAAACCAATATTGTCTATTGTCCACCACCTTCCCTGGAGAAGGAGCTCAGGAGTGTGTGTGTGTGTGTGTGTGTTAGACAGACAAACAGACACAAACAGATGGTCCCATCCCCACCCCCACCCCCATGGGCCCCAGGGGTGGCTGTGCACTGCCTGTTCATCACATGTGGCTCACAGCAGCTGCACATTCCGTCAGTGACCAGCTGTGGTGGCAGCTGGGGAGGTGGGGAGTGAGCCCTGATGGGTCCCAGGGGAGCAGGGGCGGAGGGCAAAGGGAGGACAGAAAAGGCCTGGGAGAGCAGGGGTCAGGAAGGGGGTGAAGAAAGGAGGCTCGGATTGTTCTCAGGATAAAACACGAAGCGGGACCGCGGCGGTGGGGATGCCTGCCATCTGGGTGGGAGGCCCTGTAGACATGCACCGCGGCACAGTGTGCCGGGGGTGGGGTGCTCTGGGACAAGCCCAGCACACCCTG